ACCACAGTTTCTTTAGAAACTTACCCCCCTTTCTACATAACGTGGGCAATGACATGATAAATGCTCATTAGCCATTCAGTTTTCGAATCGACCAACATAATTCAATGAGGCTACTGAGACAAATTTTATAAGGGATACGCACCGCCATTTATTCAGGTAAAAATGAATTAACTGTGTACGTTAACTGCCATACGAAAATATCTGAATGAAAACTCTCGTTATAGTGCACTTGGCTCAATCCACGAAATACTGCGCTTTCTGTTTGCCTCCTTATCAGGAAAGCTCGTTAATATTGCTTTTCCGCTAAAATGACACTAATCAAGGAGCTCATGGAAAGATGTGTGAATGAAATCTTTTCGTGCTTAAATGGCAATGCTTTTGCTGCAAATGTCGTCATTGTAAAGGTCGTTCGAGCACGCGACCTGAGACATAACTGACTGAGTCACTTTGAATTTAATATCTCAACAAAGCGTATGGAATTAAAAAAACCTCATAGAAATAGATAAAGAGCATGGGTCCAACTTATGCTTCCTTTGCTCTTTGAAAAAGGATCAACCAGTTGTGGAAATGGCAACATTGAGGTACATAACTGATAAAATTGATCTCTCTAGATGCTTCGTATCTGATCGTATCCACGCAAACAGTGTAAGTAAAACAGTTAAGAATTTTTTCATCTCTTGTTACTTGTATTTTTGGCAGTTAACAAAATGATCATTAAAGAAAAAAAATCCTTTTTGCCAGTTTGCAGAATTGTAGTTGAAATAATTTGTGACTCCTTTCCTTGTACAAAGATCCCTATTTTCAAACCCCTCCAACTGTCTCTATACTCACTGTTATCTGAGTTATGTATTGAAAAACATCACATGTTGCTATCAATGTATGCATATAAAAGGGAGGTTGGGAGAGGAGCAAGAGGAGTCTGAGAGTGTTGACGTTATAAGAATCACCCATAATTATAAACTGCATAATAACGTAAAATAAAATTTTTGAAGCGAGATTGCCGTTTGCGCACTTCGAAGGCAGCTTGGAACCACACTGCTCAAACTTTACAGCTGTTTGCAGCACAAATTTTGTAAATGATAGCATCTTTATCTTAATCCTTAAAAGAATCTTTTCTGAAGTTCTCCAGGGGCGACTTGATCTCAGCACACAAGGCTTGGGGGTAATTGTTCAGTCAGTTTTATTGAAACAATGTTGAAAGCCTGTCTCGCGGCCACGTGTTGTCTAAGTGCGCGGATGAAGAAAGGGTCTGAAAGAAGAAACCCTACTTGAAAGGTCCGTCAGTTATCATGCCACGTCCGGTACCTCAAGCAAGGGGCGATTTTGACTTAGCTCGTGTCCAACATCAACTCCAAGAACAATTATGAATGAAATTTTCCGCTGATTTTCTGCGCGTATTTTCGAGTTTCTGATCGGGTCATGAATCGAACTCCCCGTATCTACAACCTTCAAGGGAAATGAAACAAGATGTATCAAAACAGAGTTGCATAAAAATCTTACTATTTTGTGAAATGAAAAGACTCTTCGAATGCGAACTCACTTGAAACATCCATTTACCAATAAAATGTTGTGTAACTCCCTTGTGCATCACTCGACAACCTGAAAATTTTGAAAATGTTGTTCCGTTCTTATTACTAAGGAACAGAAAATCGCAAAAATTAGTTTCCAGGAGAAATTTCACTCATCTTGAACTAAAAAATGTGGTCCTGAGAAACATTAAAAATCGCCAATCCACAAAATAGAACTCTCGTATAATTGTCATCCTATGTAGCATATATATTAAAATTAAAAGAGATAGGAAAAAATTAACAACAGGAAATTGCTGAAAAAAACTGAAAAGGAGTGTGCTTTTAACATGGTTACGTTAACTTTCAAGCAGAGAGAGAGAGAGAGAGAGAGAGAGAGAGAGAGAGAGAGAGAGAGAGAGAGAGTGGGAGAGAGTGAAAACGGCCGCAGTAATATTTGGAACGTAAGTGGCTAATTCGTTCTCAGATCCTTGCGATATCTTTTTTAAGATGATATGAGATCGTCGTCATTCTGAGCGTGACCGAATAAACAAAACGGTTGTCAACAGACTGCTAAAAATACAGTAATAAAATGATCTACAAAGGATCGAATACCGTTCTGGTCTCGTTAAAACCTGGTCCATACTAGTAATGGTAAAGTTGACGATATCGTGAATAAAATGACAAAGGAAACGAAGTTTAATATACTTGAGGAAACAAAACCACTTCGAGTTATGAGAAATTCAAGGTAACACAGGTTCTAGAGACCAGGAATCAACTGAAGAAATGATTACTTCAAAAAGAAACTATCCTACCGATGTGGTTCTCCTTACGGGAGGAAAATCCTTTTTGCAAATATGACAATATGATAATATTATCATATAAAAATATGATAATAAAAAAAGAGGGCACGTACTAGGCTTCTTCAGTATATGCTCTGGACATTGTTAAAAGAATCGATCACTGGCCTTACTGTTGTTTGCCCTGCTTTAGCACCTGAATAGAATAAGCTCGTTTTAAAGAGCTGTAATTGGATCGAAAGGGCTGTTTTTAATTCTTATTGTTGTCTAGTCTTGAAGTATTAACAATAATCGCACTCATCGGTAGGTGATGTTAAAAAAAGCACAGAACTTGTGGTGGGGAAAAGGGAATGGGAAATTGGCCGCGGTTCGTTAGGAGGTTAGAAACTGTTTATAATCTCTTGGGCTTGTGCAATCCTTAAGGAAGAATCAGATTTTTCTTAGTTCTGTAGACATTCGTGTGAAATGATCAAGTGGGTATCAAAAATGTTTAGTCTATTTTTACTTGTTCAGCGTTGAAAAGTCTTTTCATTTTGTTAGACGAAACTTATCGCAGATGGTTTTTATTTCATGAACTTGACAAAACTATCTCAACAGGAAAACAGGCACCTCTTCAAAAACGCTTCGATTTCCTGATTAATATCGGCGGAATAATCAAATAAATTCGCTCTTATCAACAGATTAGACTGATACTCTTGAGAAACAACAAACAAACAGAAAATTGTGAGTGAAACAATTGTCCCATGCTTTTTTTTGTCTGTTCAGGTTCAGCCATGCGTTCTACTGTTACAAAAACAAAGAAGTCCTGTTACACCTATTAGATTTCTTTCTGCGAAAACTTTAAATAAAATTCCCGTTTTTTTTTTTTTTAACAAAGGCTCTTCTAAAAACTTGTTGTAGTGGTCAGAGGATGGGGAATCGATAGAATCTCGAAGCTGTTTCATCTGGAAATATTAAGGCATGTCTGCTAAGTGTGGCGAACTCTATGAAAGAGAGGAAGCAAGACACGTGCTGTAATCAAAAGAAATAATATTTAATGCAGTGTAAATAATTGATCTAACAAATCAGTTTGTCAAACAATACTGAATCATTTTGTGTATTATTGGTAAGTGTTCCCATCGCCAAACTTATTATCCATGGCCATCATTCTGTTGACTAAATATGACGCTGATTTACTAAGAAAACCTCATTCATATGAGAATAAAGGAACAGAGGGTCTCAGTATACTGGGACGTAAAGAATCATAATAGAACGACTTAATCGTTTTAACGCGATTAAAAAACGGCCGGCAGCTTTGAGCAAACTAAAGGCTAATTCAGAGCATTGCACTGAGCTCATTACACTGTAGTCCTGTTATCTTTGAAGGGTTATCACCACGAGTTCCGGATACCAGAGGAAGAGATTAGTATTTCAGTCAAAATTATTACAAAATTTTCGAACGTGATTTCGTTAATTGGACTCCACTCGGCCCTAAAACCATTACTAATGGTTTTAGGGCCGAGTGGAGTAAAATAAAATAAAACGAGACTAAAGGTGATCGTGAAGAGACGAATTCTAGACCCTTTTTCTTTGTATGGTTACGGACAGAAACACGTTGGCATAAGTTCCCACACAAGAGAGTTCTCTAAATACTGACGTTTACGCCAACGAAAAGCGCCAAAAATAAACTCTGGCTTATTTTTCAAGTCGAATTACCAGATTGAAAATAAAACCAAACTCAAGGAAGATAGAGAATGTCTCCATGTAAGTGATAAAGACCCTACAGGTACAGGATCTTGAACCGATTTTTCAGTGGAAAAAACTGCTTAATGACGAGCTGAATCGCGCGGAGTCATTAATAGGACAGAAACCAAGTCTGAGATGAATGAAAACACTTAAAAGACACTTTATAGCTCGTCCCAGGCGACTGAAAAGTCCGTAGATGTTTTTTTTTACTCATCTATGGCCACTTTTCATGGGTATCTGCACATGTTGAAAAGCACCCCTTAATCTTTAATACCTATAAACTGCCATCTTTAATACCCATAAACTGCCATCTAAAAAGCTGAAACTCAAAAAAAAAATTATAAACCATACTTAAATTGTTTCTTTTTTTCCAAACTCCCAGTTTATGCTCATATCTATGGTGCTTTTTATCGTTATATTCCTTTTTAACTAAGTTTTATCCTTTGCATTTTGCATTTTCCCTCATTTTTTGGAACAGAGGGCTCCCCACGTACTGTTATGAGGGTCTCAAGGGGTGATGGCTTTTACGGCTCACGTTTAAAATTTTGGCCAATTTACGGCTAACGGTTAATGCCTTTCCATTGTTTCCATCAGACCTATTTTTTACATCTAACTTTTTTTACGCCTAACGGCTAACGGTTAACCCCATTGAGGCCCTCTGTCACAAGTATTCATCGTGAAAAGGAAAAATTGGAAGGAAAGGTCAAATGCCAAATATTACTGACAAGTCGCAATAAACAACGCTGTTTTATTTATTTTAGCCAAAAGTAATTTTGTAAGAAGACGCTTCAAACGGCCCATAGAGGCGAAAAATTAGACCGATATTTAATTTACATATGCCGGCAATTTTCGAAGCTTTATTCATAACCCTCAGGGGTTTTGTTAGTCTCACGACAACAATTATTAACCACAATCATATGGAGTGGTCTGCCTGTGATCAGATATGTGATCTCTCTAAGTTTCAGTTGACACAGGTAATCTGGTTGTGGTCACGATTTGGCAGTAACAGACGTTTAACATCTCATGATGGCTTTGAGCCTCTTCTGTTTCACCTTGTATGCATACTTTATGGCTTCGTTTAGCCCCATGTTGGGTTCTGCTGACTATCAATCGATAATACCTGCTGAACGAATCTGTAAACCAGGTCCACAGCTGAAGGCATCACTCGACAAGACGAACTGCCTTGTTATCGGTGATTCTATAAGCATCGGGTAAGCGTCAATGAGTATGTTTCTTTTTCAATTATTTGAGTGCCGTTTTGCATTCAGTGCAACCCGTTTTACAATGATGTTAAGGGGAACTAGCCAAAATGTACAGAAAGAGAAACGCTGTGGACAGTTTTCACTGATTCAAATTACAGAGAGCATACACATTTTAAGCGACATGATGTCTGTTTTTCAGTTTCTCTTCCAACACAGGCGGCCCAAGCTCCAGCTGTGAGATGATTATCTTGCGAAATATGAGTCATGGCGATAAGAGTTTTTATGAGAATATTTACGACCGCTCTTAGGAATAAAAAAATACAGTCAAATTCTCAATAAAAATACCTCACTTTACTTTCACAGTGCATTGCTTGTTATCTGACCGCTTGCTATGTTAAAGAGAACCCATTTTTAGCGAGTTATCCATTTCTAGGTTTACTACATAGGAGAAGCTTCTTCTTATAATTTCGCCATGACGCTTATTTTGCAAGATGATCATCTCACCTGCAGCTGGAGCTTGCGCCGCCTGTGCTTCCATAAGTTAATTGTTGACTGTCTTATGATATGTTCAACTGATCTACCAAAGACATCACCATGATCTTTTAGTAGATCCTGATGTTGTTCTTAAATTGTGATGAAGGAATCGTAAAAATTATTCGTAACTTAACTTTGTCCTGACGACTTCTAGTTCTTATTACCAAAAATTGGACCATATTGTCTAGAAAATTCTAATTTCCTGTTATGTGTGATTAATTTTAATATGTGTTCACCTTTCGGTAAATTTCTAGCTCGCTGCCTCATATATTTCAGTAGCTGGCTTCGCCAACCCTTTGTAATGTCCGGCTTCATTAACAACATCGAACTCGTAACAGTTTGCATTATGACTTAGCAGGATTGACAATGTATGGAAGTTTGTGAAACAGGAGGAATTCTGGTATTCTGGTGAAAAATACTATGGATGCTTGACACAAGAGTGTAACTTTTGGCTTGCCCTGACACATCTGAATATCGGCGATGATCACAAGTTGTGCGTGACTGCACTTAAGTTCAGTAACCACACGTCTACTTAACCCTTAAAATCCCAGAAGTGATTAACATCCCTAAAATATCCATACATTATTCAGCAAAAAGATGATGAGAACACTCAAACTTATCATTTATTAATATTTCCTTTGCTACATTTGTTCTTAATTCGATAACTTCTTAAATTATTCTTTATTTGGATTGTTTGACATTGTTTGTTTCGTTGCGCCCAAATGTTGAGCAATCCTTTTGTTTGCCTGCAATCGTTTGTTTAAACTCGAAAGGTCAAATCTGATGACAGGAGAATCAGCAAACTTTAATCTTTTTTAAGTTCTTGCGTAATTTGATAAGAGGAATTTATATAAATTTAAAAAGTATAAGAAAATAGAAAATTTTAGTCATTTTAAGATTAATTTATAAGCTCCTATCTCTCTTGCTACGGTATAACCTCCTTCCCAAGCTTTCAGTCATCTGAAAGTTTAAGGCCTGTTTACATGAAGATGGGGACCCCACGTAACCCGCCTAGGTGGGGTAACCCGCCCATCTTTAAAATCTCTTGTTTTATCTCAATCACGTTTACATGATAAGTGGGGTGAGCATTTGCCATGTAAATGTCTCAAGGTGGGGTAACCCGCCTAGCTGGGCTGGCGTTCATATTACAAAAATAGCGAAATACGAGTGTGTTAAAACTTTGTACATTTGCTAGCCGTCTCACGCAGAGCTTAAACGTTAAAAAACCAATTTTTACGTCCTCTCAATAATGAAACCTCGACAGCGTTTTAGTCACGTCACGTTTGTACTTTGAACTGAACACTACACTCGCATGTTGTGCCGAAGTTGAGACGTTATACCGTCAGAAACGGTTAACGCATTGGGCTATAGGCGAAAATCTTAGAAGAAAATAAATTACGTTTTTTCGGCAACGTTTTACCACACGTCGCCGTGGTGGCATCTTAATCTCCTTAACTACAAATGCGATAACAACCTCGAGAAACTTTACCCCGGCATCTCGGGATTGTAAGATTGTATGAAAACGCGGGCTATTTTTCGACCACGTCTGGGCATAAACAGGTTCTTGCTTAAAGAAACTAATTGATGTCGGAGGTAAACAAAAGATAATGCAAAGTTTTTGAATCAGGGGCTGTTTTACCTGGGGAACAATGGGGTGATAGCTCTTACGGCTGACGGTTAAGACTAATTTTGGCCATTTTACGGCTAACAGTTAATTTCTTTCCATTTTAATTAAAAGAAAAAGTTTTCTCAGTTAACTTTTTTACGATTAAGGGTTAAACCCATTGAGGACCTCATCTTCAACCGGAAATCTATTGGAAACTTTTCCTGTCTCGCCTACTTTGAGAGTGATCCAAATTAATGTTAAGGTATATAGGACCTCAAGAACGCTTCCGACTTTATCCTGTATGTGTGCCTTACGGCTATCATCAGCCTTTTGGTGAATTCTGTTGGCTGTTAGTCAATAATACCTCCCGAAAGAATCTGTAAACCAGGTGCGGCGCCAAAAATAGCGTTTAGATAGGAAACTGCCTTGGTGCCTCTTCAAGCATTGAGTAAGCTATCCGGAAGTGTCAAATGACCGTCCTCTAGGAGGAAATTCCTTGCTCTTCGCTGGAATAGAAGATTTAATAACTCGAAATCTAAGAATGGTTCAGAAAATGACGTCTCTCCGCTTACGGTTTTCACCCTAGACTTTTTACCACAGAGGTCCCAAACGCGAACGAAACGCGGAAGGAAAGAAGTGAGTAAGCAAAGGACAGGAGGAATCTTGCTGCTGTTTTCCCTTTTTAGGCAGGAAAAGAAGGAGGCGTTTCGTTGAGAGGGATTAGTGAACCGATATCCTACCATTAGCTAATGTCACCTACTGTCATCTATTAGTTACACACCATACGTCGCTAAAATTTAATTAATTTTGAGAGGCTCTTCCTTCCTTTTTTCCATCTTTTAGTTACACGCCATGGGTTATTAAAATGTTAGGTGATAACTATCAAGTTCAGCACGCTCCTTGGGATGTTACCGACGGAGGAGCCCTGGACTCCAAATATGGCTTGCAGTGTCTAGACATGTTTCTGCAGACTTCCATGTTGGAACCAACAACATATGACGTTATCATCTTCAATTTTGGTATGCATGACATAAACTTCAGCGGTAAATACCCAGAGGAATACGTCGAACCAGATGAATATACTGAAAATCTACGTTCTATAGCCTCCATACTGTTATCAACTGGCGCGAAAGTTGGATTCGTTCTCACAACACCCGTTCCCTTCAGTGTCACACTCAACAACCGAGTTAAACAATACAACCGCTTAGCGGATGCTGTTATGAAAACATTTCCAACAGTAGTGACCGCTGACCTGTATACCTGGGTCACAGACGCCTGTGGAGAGCCACCTTACGAAAGCTGCATCATTGCTGCAGAACAGCCGAGCCCGCACTACACACAACCAGGATATGAGTATTTAAGTATAAGGGTCAAAGATTTGATTTTGGATCTTGTTCGAGGGATTGATCAAAACGCCCACCATTTTCGCCCGCAGGTACAGTATATTGATCAAGCATGAGGTCAAGATGGCTGGATATTGGCCGAGTTCTTTTCTTTGTTTGACTTTTTATGGACCAAGACGAAGTCGCAGCCCGTAAAACGGAAAAAGGGAATAAGGCTAATATCCAGTCACCTTGATTTGACAAGTTTTGTCAATAAAAGATTGATTAAATTCCAAAAAAATCATCGCTTTATTACGAACCATGATTTGCTTATTTCGAGAGACAGGAAAGAAAGCCAACTGTTTGTAGCACAATAAACCCACGGGAGTCGTTTATGTTTTCTTTGTTTTGACTGTGCTCTGTCGGCTTTTGACTCTACCGTCGACATACTCAAAAAATTACAAACTTTGTGTGCCCACTCCAGGTAATTTTTTTGCGCAGGATCAAAGCGGGTAATCCCGCCTATCATGCCCGCTCGGGTATCCAATTAGAGCACAGGATTCGCTTCATATTGCCCTCCGGCACTGCCCGCGATGTAATAATATTCCTTCTTGGTTATGGTCATTCGTTATAATACATCGTTCAGGAGTAAATTGTAATCAACATTCAAAGGAACAACTTTGTTAATTATTTAAGTTCAGTAACGTTTAAGTCAAATTGTGCCAATTGTTGATATTTTACAGGACGTTTTGTCGTCTTGTCGCGACCATAGGACAAATGAAAGATTAAGCATTGCTAATTGCGTATAACCGTCAGCCTACATGACCCATCTTAATCTAAACCCCACACCAGCCAAGATATCGTTTCCATTGGACATTATTTTGCAAAAGGTACTATATTAATCATTGCTTCTCTTTTTCAGCAAACAGCGAGAGGAAATCCTGTTACTTGCGAGGACAAGTCTGGTAAAGTGGTGACAGTGTGTCCTTATAATAGCACGTGTTGTGATTCACTGTTCTCTGTAACAGGAAAGGGCTGTTGCTTGCACAACCCAGAGGCCATCCCGTGTAATGACGGGAAGCACTGTTGTCCCGCAGGTTATGAGTGCGAATCCAGCTGCTCAGTTCACAGGTGTTCCTGTGTAAAGGCGCAAATTATTTACATCAAATGAACGCTGGTGCTTTACAAACCTCATTTTTGAGGGGTCGTTCATTCTTTCCTCTCGTTTTAAAATGAAGCAAACGTGAACAGTTGCCACCTCGAATAATTTCCATAAAAAATGAATCAAATCCGAAAAAAAATTGTCAATCGAAGCTTAAATAAATAGATTCGCTCGGAAATAAAATTACGAGCGGCACGGTTGATTGGATGTGGTTGTTTTTTGTAACAGATCAAACTCATTACTGATTATGTTGTTAAATAAAGACTCTCTTATTTTACAAACGACAGTCTACATAATCTTGTATCAGTCGTTGAAAACGACTTTTGTGGCAAAAAAGTATATAAGTCACACTGGATTGACAAGCAAAGTTTGCCGGAGCAACTAGTTGTCGGTTTTGAGTCAACTTCTACAACCCTTTGGGCGGATTCAGTAGAAGTGTAGGTGCACCATACAACACTGTGTTAAACCAGTGTCTTGAGAATGATAAAGGTTTATTTCTTTCCTCTTTTCCGCCAGTCCCTTCCTCTTCCACAGCTGTTTGCTCGTCACCAGTCCCTTCTATGTCGACATGACGCCCAGATTTTGAGCCTCTATCAGATGCAGCGTCAGTTTCCGGTACAACATCGGGTTGTTTGGGAAACTGTGCCAAGCCTCTCACGGCTTGTCCAACTGTTTTACTTGCTTCTAACATGCCTGAGAGTAACGTAGTTAAATAAGCTTCAGGTTACAACGAGGAAAAAGATAATTTCCAAATTTCCTATGGATTTGGTGAGAACTTGAGCAAAAAAGAAGGTCGCGAGTAAAAGCAATTTGAGGTAGATAAGAAATCGCGGTAGCTATTGAGACACAAACAGCATTATGAATATTTCATTTCTGGTCGTAAAACATCTTTGTTATCAAGGTGCCTTACAAAGGCTGGGTGGACATTTAAGTTGTAAAAAATAATGTTATGAAAATCATCCGTAAGATTTTAAAGACCCTTAAAGGTTTGGCAGATTCATGCTTTCTTGACGGTTATCAGTTATGAGCGAAAGTTAACTCAGACAAGTCAGCTTTTCCCGGAAACTGATTAGGCTACAAAGTGGTCTTCAATTCAAAGTTTGAAACTATCTAATAGTAGATGGATTCAATTCAATATGGCTCCTCAAAATGGATCATCCGAACACGTTGGGAATTACTTCAGTGATCGATATTTTGTATCTATAGCAACAATCTTCCTAGCCCTAATTCTTAAAAAGGGGCCCTTCTATTTACAAGATAAAAAATGTCTCAAGAACCAGAGGTCTCGTACATATAGCACTGATAAAAAAAAAAACAAAAAACGAAGTACGAAAGAGAAAATTGCTTACCACTGAGGTAGGTATCAAGTTTTTGTTTATTGTCAGACAGCTGGCAGTGCCACTGATTTGACACAACTCCAGCCACACCTACTAAAGAAAGCATCATAGCAGTCTCCAGTGGACGCTCCAGCCATAGTTCACCAACACTGCCATCAGAATAAAAGAAGGGATTTGTTAGATTCCAGCTAGTACCCTTAAAAAAATTACGTGCGTCGTCACGTACCACCCTCTCTCTCTCTCTCTCTCTCTCTCTTTGAGGGGATAGCGTAATGCGTGACGAGAGAGTGTGATGCGTAATGAGAGAGTGTGATGCCTCACAAGTTCAAACAATGGAGACAGAGCAAGTGGTTCATGACGAGAAAAAATACGGGCTGCGGAGGAGTGTGAAATAGTGTGTCACTCTGAAGCAAGTTTAAGAAAATAAATAGGTTGTAGAGAGAACTTCAAAGCCGCAATTTGATTGCTTACGCTTTAGTGGCATCATCTTTTCCCTGTCTGAGGAAACTCTGGCTTGTCTGAACCAAGTCCAGCAGAAGAACCAAGAGACAGTCTGGAAAAAAAAAATCATTCAAATCTCTTTGGCAATATCGTGTGGCATATAAAAAAATTCCAGGAGTTTCGTTTAGTGAATTACCGTCGTCTTATTCTCGATGTGATGACTGAAGGCGATAATAGTAATAATAATGATAATAATAATAAAAAAAATAAAAATAATACTAATAATAACAACAATAATAATAATAGTAATGTTTTTATGTGCAGATTTTAAGTCTCAATGCGCTTACATGTCGCTTATAAAATAAATCTTCAATACAAAATAACTAATCTATAAAAAAACTTTTATAGTTCAAAGAAAAAACTTCCGAAATAAAAATATTTTTAAGGTAGGTTCGCAAGACGATAACAAAACAGCAATTTTAAGAGAATCGAGGAGAGTATTCCATAATGTAGGTGCATAGAAGGGAAACGCACGTTGACTTTATAAGATATGAAGCAAAAGCACGTTGACCGTTTAAGATATAAAGCAAACGCACGTTGACCGAGAAGATATAAAACAAATACCACACAGTGAGCCAAACGGACTGGAGGGGAGGGGGCACCCCTAAAGGACCTCCGATGTGCAAACGCCAAAAAAAAACAAAACAAAAAACACACACGTACACAGAAGGAAAACAACTTCACAGTGTCAAGATTCATAAAATCATCGCACCAAAAGAAAGTTTACCTGTTACATTTATGGGTGCAAGCATATTAGGAGGCAGACAACCCAGATATCTTTCGGTGCCGTAGAAGATAAAGCCAGTGCTTTCGGACAGAAAGTGCTGAAATTCACCCACACTAAAAGAAAATACATGGGAGAATCTTCACGATAAAACTTTTCACGCAACTCAAAGGCATAAATACGAAAGACGTCGAAAGCATTTAGCTTTGGGTTCAATGCTTAGTACATGGAGACCATGTTCAACCATCTCTTAAAGGCAATTTTAAAGTGAGTGTCGAAATTAACCTGGGAATAAAATAGTTCTGCCAAACGTTGCTCTGGGATTAGGCATACGGCTTCTCACGCCACTTTCTAAATCAATCAGATGTAAAATCAAAACCACTCGCGTTTTCCCGCACTTCAGGCTGTTTGCTTGTATTTACTTTGGGATAAAAAAATCGCAGTTTGGTCACTCGCGTTTTCCCGCGCTTCAGATTTGCCAAACGTTTTTGTGATTGGGTAAACAGCTTCTCGCGCCACTTTCTTAACCAATCAGATGTAAAATCAAAACCACTCGCGTTTTCCCGCACTTCAGGCTGTTTGCTTGTATTTACTTTGGGATATGCAGTATTACTGGTTAGCTGTTTTGATTGCTCTGGTTTTGGGTTCCTGACACACGATCAAAATGCACTTTAAGACTAAGAGAAGCCACTGCAAATTCACATGTTTGAAAATAAAATAAAATATTTTGTGAACTTGGAATAAACTCAAGACATACCTCGGAAGGTGGTCACTTCCTGTTATACCATTCCACTTCGCTGTAAAATTTTTGTATTTGGCGACGGCATCATTAATTACCTTACACGGGTTATCATCACCTACATATAACAAAAATAGAAACATCTGTATTATTTATTCAAAATCGACTAGATTCATATCAGCTGAGAGGCAAAAATCATCAACTTAACCCTTTAACTCCCAAGATCTCATTAGTAATTCTCCTTACAGTTCTTGTGATGTTAGTTTGGAGAATTTGGTATTGGATCAACTTATAACCCCCTAACTGATATTTTTCTTTTTTCTCATCACTTATGGGTGTTAAAGGGTTAACAGATAGATTCCACGTTGCCGTGCGTATGTTCAGTAATAGATTTCTGATAACGTCAAAACGTGGAAAGGACACATGGCGCAGCGGAGTATCACCTTGACATATTCTGTGATCTATCACTGTACAGACCTACGGCAACATCACGGGAATGTTCTTGTTTTATATGATAAAAAAGCAAAACGTTGTAGTGGTGACGTCATCTGTGCGTTTGTCCTCCTATAGACCACAAGCAAAAATCAATCGAAATGCGAGTAGGATTTATTTTATTTCATGAAAAAATGTTGCATAACTCGGTTTACCTTCCTCGTCGCATTCGTTGTAAGGGTCGACAATGTCTAAAAGAAAGTCAAGATGTTTTATAGTTTCCGTATTTGCCGACGGTTTGACCATAGCCTTTTTGTGATGATTGAACAACAACTAATTCCATCGACCTCGTCAAAAAAGCAAGCAGCACTTGGAACGGGAAAATGTTTTTTTCGCAGATTCATAATTAGTTCTAACTATTTTCATTTTGATAAGTTGCAGTTAACTACATGATCTGATTGGCTTGATCGACCAATTGCTTCATGTGTTTTAAAGAACTCGCACTCAAAACAAAACCAAACTAAGGTGTATTCCTCTTTGTGTACTAGTAACCATAAGGTCCTCTTACAAAAACAAAAGTGGGGAAATCTTGGAATTAATGAATTTGATTAGTAGTCATACAATTTACTTCTAATCCATATCACAAAAATTGATAAAGGAAGAACTCGCTGTAAAGGATACATCTTATTCCGTTAAAATCAACCACAGGACCTTCTTTGGGAACACCAGTTCCAACCTCTTTACCTCCCTGGAATGAAAAATAAAAAGCATGCTAAATTCGTACGAACAATCAAACGGGCAAACGCACGACGAGGACATAAGAAGGAAAGGAACACGAATAACAGAAAAGAAAAGAATTGAAATAACTACTTGAACTGACTTCTTACCTTTTTCTCACTCTTTTGTCCTGATTTCGCTGTTGATGGCTTATCTGATTTCGCTTTGTCAGGTTTCTTGCCCATTTTTCCAGTGACTTTAGTTGTACTTTCTTCAAATGCAGAACGCAAGAAAGTTATATTAAAAACGCTAAATACATCAGCAACCGCTCGTGTTGTGTGATCGTGTTGTGTGATCGTGTTGTGTGATCGTGTTGTGTGATCGTGTTGTGTGATCGTGTTGTGTGATCGTGTTGTGTGAAATATAACAAAACTATGACTATATCTCACCGTCGATAACGTTCGCCAAGTGATTGATTTATAGTTGAGTGTCTTGAGCAATCCGGAACTACACTGGTTCTACCTTGTTTTGCTCTATGATTGGTCCATTAAACCCGTGCCACTCCTCTTACCAAAGCGATTTAAACTTAAACCAACTACACCTTTGTCACTTGCGTTTTCCAACACTTCAGGTAATTTATTTTGGCTTTACTTTGAGTTCTCCCTACCTACTGGTGACATTTTATTTTATTCTGTTTGTTTTTGTGACTAAGTCGGGTTTTATTCATTGTCACCCAGTCCAGAAGCGCAACAGTGAGGGAGAAATTTGAATGTATTTCTCAAAAAGACGAACTTCCTCTTTGGTATTTCATTATCCTCAACGGCATGTCTTAGCAACACTTCATACCTGAACGTTCAGCCGGGTGCACGCGATGATAATGGAACTGTAGAGAGAAGTCACGTGATATGCTGGTAATTTGGGGTACAGCAAAAGTCTTAAGAGCCTCCAGAGGTAACTGAAGCAGCCATTCATCAGCTAACAAAACAACGGACTCTGAAACCGCGTCTGGACTGAAGGAAACATAACAGAGAGTAACTAAGCTAAGCCTTACCAACGGCTTAAATTTACCGCTCACCGCCGCCACAATCCACTGTTTTGTGCACTGTGGACAGTCTTAGAGTGGTTTATATAGAGCATTTGAATGTGTTCATATATGAGTATGCCGTAACCTAAGTATCTGAAAAAGTGACTATATGCTCTACTACAATAATGTGTACACACGTTTAGTAAATTTCTGGCCTCTGGTTGGATTAATAATACCATACGTGTATTCAGTTCAGTGTTCTCAGTAGATTTTGATATGTATAAACCCTTTCTGTCTTTTCTTGGATTAAATTCAGCCACGAAATGTTTAAGCGCGAAAATTGCAATCGGAAGGTTTCTGTAAATAGTTAGCACCTCTATTTGATCTAATACCGACAATAGCTTAATAAGATAACATTGTTACTGATATAAATTTTATGAAAATGGTCTGTGCTATCAGTTGTCTTACTTTAAAGCTGGATGTAGTTTAGTTAAGATAGGGTCTAGGTAAGCTTCAACTGCTGCCACAACGTCCCTAAAATGCGACTACAAAGGAAAATACAGATTTAAACGCGAGGTAGTTTTAAATGAAAAGACAAGTCACTGACTAATAAAGTGGACAAAACACCCATCATGCCTTTCAAAAGCAGCGAAAAAGAACCAGAGAGATTTGCACAGAAAAATAGAGATAAAAAAACCAAAGACGGGAAAGAGCAGGTTTCACAATACTTTTCAAGACAGAGGAAGTGTGGCCCACACAAAGGAAAATACTGTATTGATGGGAAATCTTCCTTGATGTCAACGAACGTTTCCGATCATGATCTCTCAAGACTGTCTGACAACGAAATGTCTCCAATTAATCATCAGCTCGCTCCACGGCGTGCAATTTAACGACGAAACGCCCCTCTCTTTTCACGGTTGGTCGTTTAGTGCCAAGACAAACAGCGCCTGATAACTTTTGCAGAGTTCCTAAACCCAGTGATATCTTTCTCTGTATTTTCGGGAATATCAGGTGCTTGCATATGAATAGAAACCATAGGCACGACTTACCTCAAGCTGAGATTCTTTTTCAGCAAAACTAGAATCAATCGGCAACAGTTCCTATATAGTTTGGTGTAAAAGTTGATTTAAAATCATTAAATGATAGCGAGATATACGGTAAACATCATCTTTCTGTGTGAAGCTTTTTTGAAATTCCAAAAACTTCTCCTTTTACGCTCTCATATGTGACGAGGATTGGAAAGTTTTCCTTTTGCCGAATTCAAAATAGATTTTTCGTCGACCAGTCAACGAGAATATCGAAAAAAATATTCCTACACTTTTGCAGTCCATCAACTGCTGATTGATACTGCGCAGTTCATTTGGTCGTGCAAGCGAACACGAAGGCGGTCAAAGGCAGGTAACATAACTTATCAAACATCGTCAATTTTGGGTGCAGCGGCTTTAAATTTAAACATTCGTTAAAATGATTTTTCTTAGGATTCTGCATTTTATTAGCTCTACGGTGATAGAGGTTTTTATAAAACAGCAACGCGCGTTGGAACGATTTTGCAGAAGACGTCGTTGTATGTTTACAGCAACCTAGTGGTACCAGCGATCTAACCTGACTCTCCGCCTGTAGACTGTTGTCCTCAAGTTTCGCCAACATCTTTCTCCTCTGCTCCTGTTGGTTTCTAACATAGGTTTGTCTCATGAGTTCGGAAGCAGTGTCAGATTTGAACTGACTGAACTCTTCAATAAGTTGCTCCAGTTCCACTGCACTCACAGCTGCGCGGGTTATCATGGCCTTTGAGGGAACTAAAGAACATAAAAAGAAATATCAACACCATCAGAAAGAATAGAGAAAGGCAGAATAAACTTTCAAATATCAAATGTTTTCGTAAAAACTATAGAGAATTTACAAAACGAGTTTCACGACCCTGTGCCTGAATTAATTCCGCCTTCTAAGGGTTTTTTTTCCAGTTCATTTATTTGACATATAGTGATCTTTCATTCATTCATTCATTCAGTTAGTCTTTTTTGTTCCGCGCACAAAAAACTGTACCTTTCGGGAGATTACAAAATATCGTTTTGGGAGTTAGAAAAACAACCCAGAAAAAAGTAACAATTAGCCGACAAAAAACAAGGCAGGCTTAGGAGCAGGAGAATCAAACTAGATTCTGTACATGATGCACACATTAAATTTTCCTCTTTTTTTGGTGCAGGAATCATGGCGTACTGCCTTAGGTTCAGTACGCAACCATGGATACAGAATTCTACACACATCGTTAGAAAAAAAAAAACTTTTTAGGTACAGGTATAATACTGCGTTTGTTAACCCATTTAATATTCTTGGTGGGTGACTTAGGATAAGCACAAAGGTGCAGTACTTACCGGGAAGAGTTGATGCCTGCTTGTTGGCTTTTCCGCTTGGTATAGGAGATCGACCCTTATCCAGCACAGCTCCATAAAGGTAACATCTTTGACACACACGGATGAAAAATGAGAACATCAACATAAGGTAAAAACAACAGCAATACTTGGCAAAAAATATGGTACAAACAACATCCATCACGTAATAAACTTTGTTAGTTTAACTTGTAATCCGATCGCAAGGACTGGACAATAAGAAAGAAAACCAAGTTGACACTACAGCCTTTAAAGTCCTGCTGATAGCCATTACTGATCAGCCGATTGTCATCGGCGCTTAATGAGGCACACCACTGTCGGCCGGATGTATAATTAACCATAATTTACCGACGAAACCAAACAAGAGCAAGAGGTACGGTTATAAACTCAATCACAGCAAAATATTAATATAACAAAAGTTTAACGCGAACAATTTGACTGCTCACCTATCGGGAGAATGCTGGAGCACGACAAACTGAGTATTCATGCTTGAAAACTCACGAGTCAGTTCTAAGTGACTTCTTGTGATTGTTAACCGCCGCCAAGCCTATTAAAGTCAACCAACAACGCTAGTGGGTAACACAGCGATAAGGTACATTCGGGGGAGAACCACTAGAATGCCAAAAATTTCCCTTGAATAGAGGTGTTCATTCAGTGAAGGTAACAGATGTAAGGTTTTAGAAGCATTTGCACATTTAAAGAGTGGCTTCTCCTGAATACAAGTTTTCCGAGAGAGAGGTTGCACTGTACCAGCGGGTATCTGAAGGTTGCGCTCCATTGTAAGTTCGCCTAATATGAATTAGTTCGCCCCATAGAATACAACAAGTTCGCCCCCACTTTTGCCGCATTGCCCTAGAATCTTTCAACTCGTTTCCTTAAGGCAGAAAGCGCTCCTTTTCTGGCGAATCCGATATATTGGGATCTTTACTAGGACCGTCATTATTCCCATCCTCGAACATAGGATTACGCTGGTCGCATGGAAACGAGTTGAAGATTTGGGAGCGAACTGGTAAAGGTGAGGGGGGGATTAATATATTTTATGGAGTGAACTCGTCGTAATGATGGCGAAGCGATAAGGAGCAAACTTGCAATGGGGCGAAACCTCCATAAGCCTTTCATCGTATTGAATCCGGAGTCAGTCAACGACTCTTGAGTAGACTTTTTTTTTTCTTTACCTCACAGTCGGCAAGATGGTTAGAATTTGAGGCCAAAATACTCGATGATGTATCACTCAAGAACTCCATGTTAGTAAGTAGTTTTCTCTGGTGTAGTAAGGCTGCCTGACGCGACACAGAAGGGTCCTGCTGAACTCGTCTTAATACCCCTTCCAGAACCTGAGATGCATGGCAACTCTAAGCAAGACAAAAAGTGAAGGTAATTGGATATCAGACGTCTTTAATGTGCCGAGTGAATAGTCAACTGCGTATGGATATTTGTACTTGCTTGCACGGCTATTTCAACTATTTGAGTGTTTTATTACATGGTTGCCTAGAAATCCTATGTTTTCACTGAGAAAGGCTGTTTTAACGTTAGTTGTGTAACGACCCCTTTCTTCGCAATATAGTTTTGGCTAAATCAGGGATTGGCATTGATTTGTTACAACGCTTTTCCAGATTAAGGATACAGCCATGGTTGCCTTGTCCCTAGACTTCTCTCTAAAAAAGAGAAGCTACAAATTTTGGCTTTAAATGGCAAAGGAAGGACACTTCATACAGAAGAGAAAATCGCTCAAGTCCATGATCCCTACCACAAAACCTAACGCTTCACCCTGTGATGAAATGATCTGTTATCGCCGGATAAAATGCTCTTCACTATCACAACAACAACAAGTGCAACAACAACAACAAACACTTCATTTTTAATGAAGTAGATGATAAAAATCAAAGACTGTAATCTCCCTAATTAAACTTGGACATTAAACGAACATCAACAACATCATTGAACAAAACTTATACCAAAAGGATCCTACAGAAATACAGGCTAAAGTTTGACTGAAATAAAAACTATGAAAAGTTTCTCAACCGTCAAAGATACCTGAAACAGTGCCAGATATTGCGAGGAGGTGAGTGGATCATGAGCGCCAATAGAATCCACCAGTTCACGAGCTGCCTCACAAACAATATCCTGACCAAGGCCGAGAAAAAAAGAAGACATAACTTACCACATCTAGCATACAGATGGGGGCATATAGTTAACGACTATTCACCGAAATAGAGGTGGCTATTGGTGGATGTTGACCGAAAGCGAAGCGGCGAGGTAAATATCCACCGCTAGCCTCCGACACTAAGGTGAATAGTTGTCTCAGTATATACTAAAACAATGAAATAATATAGCACATGATTTTAGTACGTGCGCGTGAAACAAGGGGTGGCCTCTTAGAGGATCATTTGTGTTAAGTTCTAGTACAAAATTCTTGGGTAATCTTTGGTAGATTGACATTCTATCCAGGAAGAGTAGCAAAATATGTTCCTACTCACTTCAAGCTACAGAAACCTAAATGAGCTCCGATTGCAAAGGGTTAACAGATTCGCAAGGCTTACCACCTTGTACCAAGTACTAGTTAGCGGGATTTAGCGAAAAGGCCTCACCTGCGTGACAAAGGCGGTACTGCCACGAAAACGAACTCACACGAGCAATCTACTTAACTCCGAAGAGGATTATAAATCCTACCTCGACATATCAACTAGAGTGACTAACTAAGAACATTACTTAAAATGTACTAACTTTGAAGCCGTGTTTAAGTCCCATCTGTACACACTGTGACAGACATTCCACTGCTTGGCTAAGATATCTCTTAGAAGTTGAAAATTCAGCCTGAAAGGGAGGGAAAATTTAGCATTGTGGACATGCTCAAAGGCGATAACATGGCATGACATGAAGGAGCTTACATTTAACTGAAGTGCTTGATTGGTGAGTTTAATAAACTCTCTTGATGGATTCGGAAAAGCCTCTATTTCCGTATCGCCAGTGCCCTGGTCACCCGTTGCAGATTCTTCAACGGTCGGGTTTAAAGGCTTGGCTGCTCTGTCTTCTTCTTCTTCTTCATCGTGTGATAACTGTTAATATGTTACAAAACGTTAAGTCCTCTGTAGGTATTATATCCTATGTTCTGTCAAATTATCAATCAGAGATTTCTTTAGAAGGAAGTTGTTTGAGTCAAATACTTGGTCGTCCACAGTTTGTTACAGGTTTTCGTAAAAATAGTCAACACTTATGTAAAACTGTTGGCTAATCTAAAGCTGGTTTTGAACACCGTCAGTTTGCTCACAGCCGCAGAATTCTTGTAACAAACGAACCTTCCTATTTATTAACATGTCAGTTTGCTCTCTGCTACTGTGTTCAGTCAGCGAAACAAACGAATTATGCTTCCAGTTGAAAATAAGTTGACCATTCTATTAAAAACTAGCCTGAAATACTTTGCGATTCAGCTAGAATTCAGCACGGCCTCTGGCGCAAACGTAAGAAAAAATATCTATATTAGGATTATGAACGGTTCCTCGACTAGTGAGAAACTTAACCTTATGGATTGTTACGTGCACAAGACGAGCGAAAGTGTTATTTGCCCTACCTCTAGTTCTTTCCACTGGGTATCTGAATCAGGAGCCGTGTGCGCCGCTAGTACACCCAGGCAGCAGCCAAGTATGTAAAGTGTCTGCCAAGGTAGAAGAAGAAAGAGTACAAACCGTTGATCAGCTAAACAGAATAACTTTCTTTTATGTTTCAAAGATATGAAAAAAAATAATTGTTTTGGAAACAACATGCGAGGAATGGTTACATGCAGGTCACCTTTCCTTGAAAGAACAGAATAGAGGAAAATACTACAAGGAGTTTATGACAATTCCACGCAAATCAGCAGTTTGCCATGAGCTCGAGGAAACTTGAGCGGCCGATTCGTAATTTAACGATTGATCTTTGTTTTACATTTAGTGGTCGCCAAGGTGGCGCGAGTTTTCTACAGAAATCACAGAGCGAATTCATGCAAAACCAATGCAATAAACTGTTATCACGCAGCGGCTGTGTCGAATTTTATGGATACAAAGTTTTGTGCCTAACCCTCAAGTCTACCTTTGATGGCGAGTTTGCACAGACAAACAAATCTTTTGTGTCCCGGGGAATGAAAAAGAATGCTGCGTGCTGAAGGTCCATCTTGGATTACTTTCGAACCTAAATTGACAATTGCTCTATGCCGTGTCAAGTTCAAATAAGTCGTCTTCATCTTGTATCATTTTCCTTACCTTAGCCCGGAGATATGCCACGTTACCCGTAAGGCCATGCGCCATAGATAGCTGCATCAAAGTATCCTCGGCGAGAGTTCTTCGAAAAGAAAAATGTAACAAGAGTAAGGAATGAGGAATGGATGGGGTACTGAGTAAAACAGAAACAACACGTTTAACGAAATTTTGTAAATTACAGTCGAAAACTGATGAAACGATCATCGCAGTTTAATGGGACACCCCTACAATGGCAACAATTCGAAAGAAATTAAGAAAATAATCACTTTGGAGTATAATGAAGAAATCAATGGAACAAAAAAAAAGTGGACGTCTGTTCAAAAATTACCTCGTTACTTCTCGCCACTTTCTCTGTTTCTCAGTTGGCGGGGGCTCCACACCAACGTAGTCGTCTATCATCTGCAAAAAAAGGAATCAAAATCAACTAGTTCCTTTTCTTTCCCAATATTATGTTTACTGCAAAATGTAATATATTGAATTATAAAAAGAGCAACTTTTGGCATTAAACACTCGCAGCCGACTATAGGTAATCATGAACTGATCTGATTGGCTCGCTTGAAACCCACTAATCAATAAATGATACAGGATTCCCTACTTCGCGTTAATCGCACCCACAATTCTCTTTGGACTTAAGCTTAGCGTATGGGAGCAAACAAACATAAACGTTTTCGTTAAAAACAAAAATCCGTCGACAACTTTTGCGTCAATTAGACAATCAAGACGAATTCGTCGTACACAAACAAATTCAATCTTGCTTTGCCGGTCATTTTCTCACAAAAACACTAACTCTAAGAGAAAAGGCAATATGAATGGGGTGGCAATTAGGATACAGACAATAAATATCAGTTTCATTTCCTGAGTAAAAACTCTCCTTACCTTCTCGATGCTCCCCTTCTGTGTCTCTAATTCTCGTTTTCCTCGATCTTCACTTGAAAACAGTTTCAACATGTCAACCATCAGCTTTGAGATGACAAGCTTTGCGTCTACTGCCTCTCGCTGAACAGGCAGGCTTAGGTTACGGAGCTAAAGAAAAAGCACATTTCGACATAAGTGTACCTTGGAATAACTCAAGTATGAAGTGATAAGAATAGCGACACCCACCTCTGACAGACTGGAAACGGACTGGACATCATGTAACACAGCATTAGATAGACTTACAGCTGTTTTCAGGATATCGAAGGCCTAAAAAAAACGACACGATAAACAAGTGAGACAAACCTATCATGTGTACTGCGTCCACGTATATGTGCATCACGAGTGTGTTTCTGCTCATACGTGAATTTGATACCTGTAAGGTAGTTCCCAATCAAGAAAATTTCAGTGCGAAATCATGAGATTTTTAGGTGTACTTGAGAAATGCGTGTATCCTTCTTAGCTTCGTGCGCGCGAGTTTGACTGCGTAAAACAGCCCGTGCGAGGAAGCCTGTGTGGGTACCTCGAGAAGATTGTCTTGTCTTTCCTCAGGGGTGATACTATCTTCAGCAAAGGCTCTCTTGATGGCTACAAGTTTCAACATGACCTTAACAGCCTCTCGTTTGCGACCCAATGTGCTAAGTTTTTCCGCCGCACGGGACAGATGCTGTGATCAGAGAAAGACAACACAAGAGTCATATTTTTTTCATCTTAGGTTTCTTTTAAATTTGAGAGTGAAATCAATATCCTTTATAAAAAACATAAGGATAAAAAAATATATTTTGATAAAAAGAATGGACTTATTGAGGGCTTTTTAGATTGACTGATTTACAAACAAATTATTACTATAATCATTCTGTTATTTACCACTGATAAATAATACCAGTAGAAAAGAAATAGAAACAAATATAACTCAATTAGAGAAAATTACACATTAAAAGTAAAATGTTTACGAAATTACAAATCAACGTAAATAGAGAATTAGCATGTGGATCACCCACCTTGCAGGCGATAATCAAATCCTTGCGGGCATATTCTTGCTTTCTCAAATGAGGATCATTGACAGCGTGATCAGACAGTAAAGTACCCAGCCTGAAATGAACACATTCATAAGAAATCAAACAGATCTTTGGTACAGAGGAAACAGGACGGAATAAACCAGAATCTTAGTGGCGATAGCTGTGTGTAGAGCAGGTTTCTCATACATTTTATAAGGTACTGGCTGTAAGAATTTGTCTGTCAATAAAGAGCTTCTTACGTTGGTGATCATTTCCTTTATTCTTGTGGCTTTAGCTGGTAGTTCGAGGGTGATATTGTAAGGAGAAATTAGATGCTTATCACCCTTTGGGGTCATAGGGATAAAATAAGAAGTGCGAGGGTTTGCACTGCAAATGATCTCTATTTATAGGCAAATGAAACTCAATTTCCCACGACAGGTTTAGCATCTGGCCTAGTTCTAAATTTTTGGGTTTTCAGAACTCTGAAAGGGTTATTTACTGAGATATTGCCAAGAGACGACAATACTCCAGCAATCTGAGAAAAGGTTAATTGTGCCGGGAATGGAAATAAGAAACACCACCGACAGCCAAGACTCTTAGATCGTAATGCAAAAAACCGTTGTCTGCAACCGAACCTTTCGGTTGTAAAATTTTGACTTGGACGTGGGCCTTTCTTTCCGTGCGCCTAGCAAGTGATGTATGTTAATTTAGCGGCGTCCCTGTTTCCTTGAGATGTTTGTCAAATGTCTAGTAATTTAGCATTGCTTTGTCAATTGAAGATTCTTTGTCTTTATTCCACAGTCTACAGCAAGTACTCCCTAACAGCTCTCAGCCGATGCAGTACATACCTCGCTGCGAGGACCGCTTCGATGTATTCCGCCATATTGGCTTTATTAGGGTTGTCTTCAGCCAAGTCCCGAAAAACATTTCTTGCACGTAACAAAATATTGCGTGCCTGAAAAAATGAGACACTATGATTGGGATTTACGAAGTAACCTTCACAAAGAGGTAATTTGCATAAGTGGAGACCTAAACCGTTTCTAATCAATGCCTTACATTCAGAATGTATCTAAATTTGTATCCAAAGCGCAGGGTTATGTTTGTAAACGGGATAAACCTGCCTAGTTACAAGAGCTTACCCCGGTTTCTTAACAAGAAGCCACAGGGAGCAATGCTTTCACTCCTGGATGGAGTATTAGTCCATCGCATGTTATCTCTTCCCCTCCTCCCCCCCCCCCCGCCCTTAAAAAAAAAATGTAATAATTGGGCTTCGATCACAATTCACAAACAAATTGCACAATGGTCTGACAACCGGCTTCAAATGACAAGCCTGGGTTTTCCTGTTACTTCGCTGATACTCAGTTATAGCCCTTACGAAGAGAGGCAGTGTGAAAGTTACGTGTCTTACCCAAGAACACAACACAATGAATGAGGTCGCGACCCCCCCCCCCCCCCCAACAAGTTACCACCTTAAGGAGGGAGCCCTTAAACCTCTGGTATGATTTGTGCCCAGTCATTGTGTAAGAGTGTCTCGAAAAACATTCTCCCAGAAAAGCCTGACGAAAAGGAAAGAAAAGATGATTACCCTGTCCTTAGCTGGAGGGTCTGGCGTGTTTAACATGGTGGAATTCTTGTCGACTTTAGCTAACGAGGCTTCACACAGCAGCAACGTAGTCGCCAGCCAAAATCTTTGATCTCCATGAAGTTTCTACGAAGAACACAGGCACATACAACATCACGAAAATATTGTAACAATCTGAGCCATCGGATTTGGTGAAGTGTTTCTCCTCAAGGTTTGATTAAATCGTATTTCGATTATTAACAAGCTGATCTTCATAGCTTATCCACTTCAGACAGTCTAAACAGAGATTGCAGACTTCTGCAAGAGTGGACTCATCCCACTCAAACGTTGGTTGGTTTCCATAACGAGTAGTCTATGAGGCCTAAGGTTGGAAGCGTAGCCACACGCTGCCATCACAGCTACCGGTGTTCATCCCACTACAGATCCTACTCAGAAGAGAAAGTTTTTCATGGCATGTTTAGGAATCTTGAGATGATAACCTCATTAACACAGCTTAGTTGCAGAGATCTATTTCGCTCACGAGTGAAATCCGGTGGCGTAATAAACAAATTTAAACGACACGAACCTGCGCTTCAAGTAACAGTGAAGTAGCTTGTCCCCAGTTTGACTCTGCTAAAGCCATAACCGATAATTGCACCAGAATGTTAGCAAGAGTTCGCTTGTCGTCAAACGCCTGAACGTCAAAAAAAGAAAGAAAGAAAGAAAGAAAGAGACAAGTTTATCAAACAAATCAACACCCGTAAAAATCCTGCGCTGCTTTTACTGATAAAATCATACGAAACCACCCCCCTGAATTAAATAATTCTGTTATTTCAAAAATTCTATTAAATTGTAGTTGAAAAGGAAGAACGACTGGTAATCCGAATAAAACCAAGATTTTGAACCGGAGGAAAACTTTTCCAGAGTCATCACATATCTTTCATAATCCATAACCAAACTCGTTGAGCTTCACGCTTAAAGTCTTGTTTGCAACTTTATAATGTAATAGTCTGGCCTTCAATCACAAAAGGTTCTCCAAACGCACGCTCGAGTCGTACATTTAAAGAACAAAAGACGACTTTTTTCGGATTCATATTTGACATTTCCTTTGCTGTACAAAGAAATGTGACTGAGATTCATGAAGATGTCCGAACGGACTTACCCTTGCTGACAGATTTGCTTCGCTTAATAGCTGTCGAGCCGGCAGAAACTGACCCTAAATGGAAAGGATAACCACAAACATTTGAAACGTGAAGAGAACTGTATGTATATGCTTATTGGACACAATTTAAAAAGTAACCATTCGGTCAGCTGTACCTGCCGGATAAGTATTTCAGCCTGCTCAGTCCATAATTCTCGATAACACACGTCACTTATCACCCATTTATGTTTGTTCCACGACTCCTCTTCAACAATATCCGCTGCGCCGGGCGCCTGAGGTCTGATTACTAGATTTGATGTCCTAGCTTCAGACATGACACTTTTGTTGTTTTTGGATTTTTCTTCTTCGGCTTTCACCTGGCGCTGTTTTTCTTTCCACATCTCGATTTCCTCTCGGGATCTGGAGAAAACCAAAACAAGTGACGATACTAACAATAAAAGGATGCAAATGACTTCGAAACCATAACGGAATCAAATATCAGCCTTTTAAGAAAAAGCCTTCAAAGTGGTGGTCTTTGTGTTCCCATTTTTGAGACTTAACGAATATTTTCCGGCTGCGATTTCCTGGCAAAACTCTTGCGTACATAGTAAGAACACCTACACCTCTAGGGTCTCACGGTTTTGTGGAACAAGAGATCAGAAAGCAGCCCAACGTGGAAGATTTTTTAACTTAATTGCATTTTAACGTGGACTGTTCATAAAGCATATTTAAAAATAAAGATTAATTAACTGATTGATTGATTGTTAATTAAATAAATGCTCTTTCCTCGTAATTGATCACCTTGTGATTATGACCTCACACAAAACCCTCGAAGTATTAAGTTGTTTTCCAGACCTCTCTCTAGGAGAAAGGAAAGTCAAAGAACGTAATCAAAAAGCTATGTATTAATCGACTCACTTGGCTTGCTCTTGCTCTGTCAATAACATGCGGCCAGCACACTTCTCGTGATAGGCCACGCCCGAGGGTAGGTTTAGCTCCTGACATAATTCCAAGGCTCTAGAGTAGAAATAATTAATTAGTTCACTGGACGGCCACATAACCCTGAAACAGCAACATTAATTAAAAAATGTGAACCAAGTGGCTTGAAGAAAAGGAACGTTGTTTGAAATTTTGCCAGCGTTTACTGCGAACTTCGGTAAACTAATCCTTTGAGACATGGGAGCAAAAGCGTTGTTTTACTGATATGTAACTCTAAGCGGGAGTACTGAGCGCGATATCAATCTGGACACTTCGACTCTGATGTTTTCAATATTTTTCAACGGTTTAGCTATTTGACCTGTAAACCCCACAGAACACTATCTCACTGTAACAGCCAATAAAATCACGGCAAACTGAGCAATTGTTGCCGATTGTCCCACAAGAAATGAAGAAGATTGGTTGAAAACTGAACAGTTACTTTCTACAAGCTGCTGACGTTCGACTGACAAACTCTTTACCTAATTCCAATGGGGAAATCCGTTCAAGTCGCTGAAAAGTTAATCAGTTATCCAAACAACAATACTCTTCAGAACTAGCCCCGCCCGGAAAGTCACACTATCAACTTTACAAAAGCCCTTTCTCGTTATCTTTGGCGATTTATTGATTTATCGCACTTCTAGGTGCCAATTTAAAACATATAGGAAAGGTGGAAAAGGATCTAAATGCTGTGAGAGACAAAGGTAACAGATTGATCAGAATGGCCCTCTTACGTATTTCACTATGCGTGCGTGGAGGGTCGAAAACAACTAGAGGTGGTCAGCCGAACAGGAACAGAGACTCAAAGCTCAGAAGATAGAAAAGGAGAAGGAGGAAGAGGAAGATTGTGAAAATCAAATTAATTTTCAGAGTAGCGAGAGGAATAACGGAAGAAATGAAAACACAGAGACTTAGGGAGAATTTTTACCTGAGATGAACAAGTTTCTTTAACTGGCTATTGTCAAATACCAAGTCCGCTATGAGCTGTTGCATCGCAACAACAGGTAGCGCTAACTGGTGATATCCCAGGTCACGTAGATCACGGAACAACGCTTGCATGTAGTACAGACTCAGCATCTGAAAAGGAAAATAACACTGCAATGAAATATCTATTAAATAATAATAATAATAATAATAATAATAAAATAAAAACAACAGCAGTAGTTATTACAAAGCGACACCCACTAGAATTGCAAAGAGAAATGGCTGTTACTATTCTTAATCGTGGATTCTTTGATCCATCAGACACATTTTCGCTCTGACTTCAAAGTGGAAAACTTATCATAGATATTTCTCAAGAAAATTACGGGAAGTGAAAAGAGACCAGTCAGTGGAGAGAGTCACTTAAACCTCGTAAAACAAATTTCATCATTTGCCGAGGAGCGATCTTGAAAACGGTAGAAAATGGAGTCTGAGACAAAAATTATTTTCCATCAAAGCGGCCTAAAATTTTCTTTTTCGTATTTCCGGGGCCGCATTTATTGTAGCCTTTACACTGAAAACGAAACTGACTTCTAACTTTGTTTCTAACGCTTACCGGCTTCAAGAAGGTTGCTTTATTAATCATTGTCCCTGTGATGTCACACTTGAAATATTCCTGAAGCTACGAGCCAGAGAGGAAATGCAACAAATAACGATGAAAACTCTTCAAAAATCGGAGAGTTTTAAGACTATCATTGAAACAGTGTGATCAAGACGCTTAAGGATAAAATCATTTCGCGAAAACATGTGAGCACTTCAGATGCATTCGAGAGCAAAAAGGTTCCATTTACCTTTTCCGAAAGTTCAAAAGTAGCCCATCCTTCTATTGTGCTTGGAAATAATGTCTTCACTGTCGATTTATCCACTTTTGTTTGAGACTAACAAAAAGTGAAACAGAAAAGTCAACGGTTATCTATCAAATATTTATGGCTTAGGCTACTTACATAAAAATATTTGTTCTCATCGGCCATTTACATGTTTTACATCATGTAAGAGCATAATCAGTGTAACAAACACGGCTTTTGTACACCTGCTTTCAACAGCTAACTCTGGGAAACTGGTTACGGCCGATGACACGACGGCGAAACTTATCAGTCAGTTTTCATAAACTGTTCAGATTTAAAATCATGACTAACCAACAACTCCTCAATTGAACTCCACGATGATTACCGCTAAGGTTGTCGATAAGTATTTCGCTGTCACAGACCTAACAATCACTGTTAATCCTGGGATCTAACCATTCACCACAACATGACATACGTAAATACTGAACGGAGTTCAGCGATGTACGGACCTCTTTAGCTTCCTTCCCTTTGTCTTTGCCCTTTTTAGATTGAGCTATCTCCCCCGGTTTTCCTCCTTCCTTCTGTATTCGCTCAGCTGAAGAGATTGAAACCTAAACACAAGATATGATTTTCACCATCATATACGACAAGGCAAAGTCACAAGGCATAGCCAGCTCACTTAAAACCAAACCAATCCAGCAGTTTTAATAGTAAAGTAGCTGCCCTCTTAAGGACACCCTCGCTAGCGGACAGGGCTCTTCTTCTGAGCGTGTCCGCTCATGAAAGTTACCACTGTATCATGTACAGAATTTCATGGCTTTTCTGAAAAGCGTAATTTTTCTGCGTTTTCCCAGCGAGGGGACACAAGCTTTTGGGAAACCAAAGGGGTTTTATTATCTCCGCTCGCTCGAATCCCATAAAAATTACGCCTACCGCGAGGCCAGGGGTTTCAGGAAGGATAGCACGCTTTGTACTCCGCCTTATCTCCCACGATATTATTATATTTTTTAATTTATTATTGATTTCACACACTCTTCTTCTAGAGTTGATGGTCTGTGGCTTAGTTGCCACTGTGACCCGCGTTTTCTAATGACGAGATTTTGGTTCTCTTGCTCTCCACCGACACATTACATTATTGTTAAAAGCTAATTTTGTTTTACCTGCCATATCCTGTGGAGGAAGGCGTAAGCTAACAGCACATAGTCCCTAGAGTGTGGAGACGAGTTTCCAGCGACTTGGGCCAGCATAACATGAAGACGCATCAACGTCTCCAGCTGTCTGATGTCAATGATGTCTTGTACCTGCACGGTGACTTCTGAGGGGCGCACACCTATGACTGAGCGGTGCTCCCCTGGTACATATTTAGACGCATCTATCTCGCTCCCGCTCTCACTCCTTACATCATTGTGATCATCTGAAATATTAGACAGCCAGGTAAATGATATATACATTCAAGAAAAGATCAGACCATGATATCTATATTCCTGTGCACTGCAGGTCATACACAAGTGCTATCCCTCTCAAGATACTTAAAGACTCGAAGAATCCTGTCTCTCAGGAGTAGAGCCCTTTTCCACTAAGCTTCAAAAATAACCCGCGGTTGCTTTGGTTTTGCCCCACAGCGGTCTGTGTTTGGTCAAGAAAACTCGCCCTAACCCAATCAGACGCAATACTAAAGCCAATCACGACCAGGTCTCTCATCTTTCCTCCTTGTTGCGTGTGCAAACGTATATCACCCTTATTAGGTTACAGAACAAAGTAAAACGCTCTTATGACTTCGCGGTCTCTGTACTTTCGCTGTGAAGAGAAGCTATTATCGCACAATTTCTTTCACTGCTGACAATTAACCATGTTTTACAGTTCATAATTAATTTGTCTATGTTTTAAAAGCCTCAAACCAATTCAATGTTGTCATTCTTTGTCCCAAATTATGGTGAAAGATAGGAGATAAAATAAAAAAAAATTACACGACAATGTATGCAAAGAGCAATTTTCAAATCAAGTATCGAGGAAAATCCGATTGCCGTGGTTTAATGTCATGAAGCTGAGTGATTATTCTAGAAATAATCGCACCTCCTTCCTCACCAATCAGATGCAAAAGTACAATTGATCACCGCTTGGTCACTCGCATTCACCGCGCCTAGGTTGGCTCTAGTGATATCTACCCTTTTTTTAAGATTGGTAGCTTTGATAACCTTGGTTTTGGTTTTCTGACTCTCGCGCAAAGAGCTCTCTAATAATACATCGCATTAGTAGTTATACAGCTCATATCACTCTTTACCTTGCTTGTTTTCTATATTTGAGGTTTTGTTCAGCAGAATATCAGATGCCCAAAGGAACTGAAAAAAAGAAGAAAAAAATTGAACGAAACGTTGGCAAACATGAACACGGAAATGAAAAGAAAAAGTTGAGCTACCTGATCCAAAGCGTCCTCCACCGGATACTCATTGACAAATAGCCATTCTCCAAATTCCATCAAGTAATCTACCTTTTGCCAGTCACTCTCTGGATTCTGTATTAAAGAGAAAACATATACTATATGGTTATGCACTGGCTACGGTAAAGCTCTATCCTTTCAGAGGTGAATTGGAGCCAATTCAAGTATGTCGCACTTACGTTGGGTGATGTAAGGGAGAGAACCACGTTTATCGTCCGTCAGGTTCTCTATAAACTTTGGTATCATGTGGACAGTGACTCGCGATTATTGTGATATTGACTCACGCACGTCTCGCACAATTTGTTTTATATTTCATTGTTACGTTGGTAACTCGAACAGTGTGCGTTGTATTTGATTGTTATGTAAGTTATTCGCGCACTCTGTTTTGTGTTTAATTGTTACGTTAGTAACTCGCACACTCTGTTGGGCATTTGATTGTTAGTTAGTGACTCGTGCACTCCGTTTCGTGTTTGATTGTTGGGTTAATGACTCGCACACTCTGCTTTGTGTTTGATTGTTACGTTAGTGTCACCTGCACTCTGTTTTGTGTTTGATTGATACGTTAGTGTCTTGCGCACTCTGTTTTAGTTTGATTGTTACGTTAGTGTCTCGTGCATTCTGCTTTGTGTTTGATTGTCACGTTAGTGTCTCGCGCACTCTGTTTTGTGTTTGATTGTTACGTTAGTGTCTCGTGCAATCTGTTTTGTATTTGATTGTACCGTTTGTGACTCGCGCGCTCTATTTTGTGGTTGATGGTTACGTTAGTGTCTCCTACACTCTGTTTTGTGTTTGATTGTTACGTTAGTGTCTCGTGCACTCTGTTTTTATTTGATTGTACCGTTAGTGACTCGCGCGCTCTATTTTGTGGTTGATTGTTACGCTAGTGTCTCGCGCACTCTGTTTGTGTTTGTATTTAATTGTACCGTTTGTGACTCGCGTACTCTTTTTTGTGTTTGATTGTTACGTTAGTGACTCGCACACTCTGTTTTGTGTTTGATTGTTACGCTAGTGTCTCGCGCACTCTGTTTGTGTTTGTATTTAATTGTACCGTTTGTGACTCGCGTACTCTTTTTTGTGTTTGATTGTTACGTTAGTGACTCGCACACTCTGTTTTGTGTTTGATTGTTACGTTAGTGACTCGCGCTCTCTGTTTTGTGTTTGATTGTTACATTAGTGACTCGCGCACTCTGTTTTGCGTTTGATTGTAACGTTGGTGTTTCGCGCACTCTGTTTTGTATTTAATTGTACCGTTTGTGACTCGCGTACTCTTTTTTGTGTTTGATTGCTACGTAAGTGACTCGCACACTCTGTTTTGTGTTTGATTGTTAGTTAGTGACTCGCGCTCTCTGTTTTGTGTTTGATTGTTACGTTCGTGACTCGCGCTCTCTGTTTTGTGTTTGATTGTTACGTAAGTGACTCGCGCTCTCTGTTTTGTGTTTTATTGTTACGTAAGTGACTCGCGTTCTCTGTTTTGTGTTGGATTGTTAGTTGGTGACTCGCGCACTCTGTTTTGTGTTTGATTGTTCGTTGATGACTCGCGCACTGTGTTTTGTGTTTGATTGTAATGTTGGTGACTTGCGCACTGTGTTTTGTGTTTGATTGTTACGTAAGTGACTCGCGCTCTCTGTTTTGTGTTTGATTGTTACGTTAGTGACTCGCGCACTCTGTTCTGTGTTTGATAGTTAGGTAAGTGACTTGCGCGCTCTGTTTTGTGTTTGATTGTTAGTTGGTGACTCGCACACTCTGTTTTGTGTTTGATTGTTACGTTAGTGACTCGCACTCTCTGTTTGGTGTTTGATTGTTACATAAGTGACTTGCGCTATCTGTTTTGTGTTTGATTGTTACGTAAGTGACTCGCGCTCTCTGTTTTGTGTTTGATTGTATCGTTGGTGACTTGTGCACTCTGTTTTGTGTTTGATTGTTATGTAAGTAACTCGCGCACTCTGTTTTGTGTTGGATTGTTAGTTGGTGACTCGCGCTCTCTGTTTTGTGTTTGATTGTAACGTTAGTGACTCGCCCACTCTGTTTTGTGTTTGATAGTTAGTTGGTGACTCGCACACTCTGTTTTGTGTTTGATTGTTATGTAAGTAACTCGCGCACTCTGTTTTGTGTTGGATTGTTAGTTGGTGACTCGCGCTCTCTGTTTTGTGTTTGATTGTAACGTTAGTGACTCGCCCACTCTGTTTTGTGTTTGATAGTTAAGTAAGTGACTCGCGCTCTCTGTTTTGTGTTTGATAGTTAAATGAGTGACTCGCACACTCTGTTCTGTGTTTGATTGTTAGTTGGTGACTCGCGCTCTCTGTTTTGTGTTTGATAGTTAAGTAAGTGACTTGCGCACTCTGTTCTGTGTATGATCGTTAGTTGGTGACTCGCGCTCTCTGTTTTGTGTTTGATAGTTAAGTTAGTCACTCGTGCACTCTGTTTCGGGTTTGATTGTTAGTGACTCGCGCTCTCTGTTTTGTGTTTGATAGTTAAGTAAGTGATTCGTGCACTCTGTTTTGGGTTTGATTGTTACGAAAGTGACTCGCGCTCTCTGTTTTGTGTTTGATTGTTACGTAAGTGACTCGCGCTCTCTGTTTTGTGTTTAATTGTTACGTAAGCGACTCGCGCACTCTGTTTTGTGTTTGATTGTTAGTTAGTGACTCGCGCACTCTGTTTTGTGTTTGATTGTTACGTTAGTGACTCGCGCACTCTGTTTTGTGTTTGATTGTTACGTTAGTGACTCGCGCACTCTGTTTTGTGTTTGATTGTTACGTTAGTGACTCGCGCACTCTGTTTTGTGTTTGATTGTTAGTTGGTGACTCGCGAACTCTGTTTTGTGTTTGATAGTTAAGAAGGTGACTTGCGCACTTTGTTGTGTTTGATTGTTACATAAGTGACTCGCGCTCTCTGTTTTGTGTTTGATTGTTAATTGGTGACTCGCGCACTCTGTTTTGTGTTTGATTGTTACGTAAGTGACTCGCGCACTCTGTTTTGTATTTGATTGTTAGTTGGTGAATCGCTCACTCTGTTTTGTGTTTTATTGTTACGTAAGTGACTCGCGCACTCTGTTTTGTGTTTGATTGTTAGGCAAGTGACTCGCGCACTCTGTTTTGTGTTTGATTGTTACGTAAGTGACTCGCGCATTCTGTTTTGTGTTTGATTGTTACGTAAGTGACTCGCGCTGTCTGTTTTGTGTTTGATTGTTAGTTTGTGACTCGCGCTGTCTGTTTTGTCTTTGATTGTATTGTTAGAGACTCGCACACTCTGTTCTGTGTTTGATAGTTAAGTAAGTGACTCGCGCACTCTGTTTTGTGTTTGATTGTTACGTAAGTGACTCGCGCTCTCTGTTTTGTGTTTGATTGTTAGTTGGTGAATCGCTCACTCTGTTTTGTGTTTTATTGTTACGTAAGTGACTCGCGCTCTCTGTTATGTGTTTGATTGTTACGTAAGTGACTTGCGCTCTCTGTTTTGTGTTTGATTGTTACGTAAGTGACTCGCGCACTCTGTTTTGTGTTTGATTGTTAGTTGGTGACTCGTGCACTCTGTTTTCTGTCTGATCATTACGTTTCTGACTCGTGCGCGCTGTTTCGTGTTTGATTGTTAAGAGAGTGACTCACACTACGTTTCGTGTTTGAGTGTCAGTGACTCGTGCATTCTGTATTGTGTTTGATTACCACATTTCTGACTCGTGCGCGCTGTTTCGTGTTTGATTGTTAAGTGATTAACTCACACTACGTTTCGTGTTTGAGTGTTAGTGACTCGTGCATTCTGTAAAGTGTTTGATTATTACGTTTCTGACTCGTGCGCACTGTGTTTGACTGTTGCGTTAGCGACTCTCGCACATTGCTTTGTATTTGATTGTGACGTTAATAGCTCTCCATTTCTTTCAGGATTGATTGTTACGCTAGAAAATGATAACAGCGCCATCTCATTACGTATTACGTTACAAAATAGCGCTAACCGGCAAATATTTCTTTATTCCCTCTGGTTTTTTTTCCCATTTCTTCTAACGAATCTTGAACATACAAGTTTAACGGCAACTGTTTTAATAACCATTACAACTCTTAGAAACATGACTTTTCCTCGCTTTATATAAAAGAAAAATTATCTCTCCCCTGGGCGAGTTAGAGAAATATCACTAAAAGAAAACGCAGCCTTAACACCTGTGCAATACTGACATACCTCAAGAGCTTCGATAGCATTTTGGTAAGCAGACAGTTGATCCTCTGGAGCCTTGGAATTCAGTGCCACATGTCGCCACATGGCTGCAATTGCATCTTCTTTTTCATTCTGCACAACAAAAGGATATAGAACATTATTCTTCACGATATATGACGGCAGAAACTGCATTCCTTTTCTGTGGTAAATGTCAATACATATATCACCTCACTTTGAGAACATTTGTGAAAAAATGAATCTTGAAATGCGTTTTACCTTGAATTTTCCCATATCAAAAACAACATTTCGTCCAAGCTTTGCTTTTGTGATGACTCGATGTTTAAAGATCAACCTAAAAGAGACAAGCAAGAGATACAATTCTTTTCCAACGAACATATTAATTCTTACTGATTTACTCCTACTCTTCCAACTTCAACAACCTTGCTTAAGACTTACAGTCTGTGAGAAGTTCTCGGCATGTCCTTGACAGCTTGATCCATGGCTCGTAATCCCTGCTCCCACTCACCCTTGAGAACACAAAACGATAAGAAACTTAAATGCAAGTTAACCATTTCTTCTCACTCTAAATGTGTGACACCACTCGCCAACGGAAAGAGGAAGTCAAGGGTGCAGTGGTCGACGCACAGAAGGACAGGAAGGAAAAATATGAAGGGAGAGACATTACTCTACGTTTGTGAATGACAAGGCGAACCAAAATACACGTATTTGCCCCTAAAAACCATATGCGTATAATGTAACAGTTGCACGCGGGAAACCACACGCATTATTCCAACGTATTACACGCGCTTGGCACGCGTGTAGGTGCTGCAATATACCTGAGTGGTACTGTATGTCCAACAGGCACAAAACACCTTACTCGAGGAACATTTTCGGACCTCATTCCTTACTCAGTATGGATGGTCATCGCCTCCCGCACCTCTCCTCCCTCACAAAATGTTTTGCTTTACCCCCCGCAACCCTGGAACAACATTCCAGCCTGATCTAACGTTGCGTGGAGGTTAGTTAGAAGAGTTAAATGACTACATCGCTGACACGGACATTCACGATCGCTATACACTCCCGAGAAAGGCTATACCCCTTTATCTCCTAAAATCTGATGGTCAATTCTCTCCTCTTGTTGCCACACACTTCTATTTAAATTAGTTAAGAGAATTTGGTGTCAGATCAAGATAATAATTTCTACTTGATAAGTTTGAAAATGCTCCTAATCCGTTTGCTGAATAATGGCTGGGTACCCATAGGAAGAAGTTACATGGAAATCACTTTTGAGAGTTAAACCTAATGCACAACCATTCCTTCATTTGTCGCATTCTATTTGAATAGATAAAAAGGATGTTATCGAGGAAAAAATAACTAAGAAAAAGTAAGAGAGCATAGTCCCCCTTCACCTTGTCAGCATAAGCCTGGAACAACACTCCGTACATGGCAGCACGTAGCATCAGATCCTCATCATAAGCGCTTGGTATCGCTGGAGGTTTTTCCTCCTGTTCTACACCCAACTTGCTCTCTTTTGAATCTTGTTTCTCAGTCTTAACTCCTTTACTTCCAGTTTTGTCTCCTTCAAAGAAGAATAGTATACTTATCGTTAGCGACAGTCAAATTTAGTCCATGAAGATAACATCAGGTACCAACTGAAAGAATTTGCTCATCCCTCTGGATGGGTAGTTGTAAAAACACGGATTTCTTATAGAATCTTTGGTACCTAATTCTGTTATCGAAAACAATACACAAAAAGCCTGTGCCACTGGGAAATTCTATCTACTTCTCATATTCCGTTAAGCGTCTCTGGGACTCACAAAGAAACCAGATACATGCAAACACGCTCTCATTTGATCTATCTGCGGTAAGCGCATACACCTCATAGAGAGACACTTAGGACTTATCACTCACTTTTGTTCAATCCATTTTAACCTTTTACCTCCCATGAGTGACCAAGATAGAATTTCTCCTCACAACATCAATACAATATCAAGCATAGAAGTGATGAGAATAAAGTAAAATGCCAATTAGGGGATTATTAGTTGATCCAATACCAAATTCTCCAAATTGACATCATAAGAATTGTATGGCAAACAGTAAGGAGAATTACTGATGAGATCTTGGGAGTTAGAGGGTTAACAGGGTATGGCGGTGTTCAAACATATCGTTATAAATACCAGGTTTGCCTTTATCTTTGTCTTTGTCCTTTTCCTTCTTTTTATCTCCCCCGGTTTTATCTTTAGTTTTCTTCTCTTTCTCGATCTTGCTGCTAACGGGTTTCTTCGAAGGTTTCTTTTCTGGGGATGATGATTCTGTTTCTTCATCTTCATCCTAATGGGATGAACAATAGACACGGTTTCTAGTTTAAACTATTTAGAGCAAATTAGAGGCAGGAAAACCCTACAATTATCTGGAAGCTCTACCCTTTGCAGTTTCATACGATTGGTGTCAGTGCGCTGAAGTCTATTGTATGTTAACCCAAAAAAAAAAAAATAATAGCGGATTGGATTAGACTAATAAAGAGCTGGCCCGTAGGATTTGTGTGTAGCATGGACTTTGACTGAGTGTGTGCGTTCGTGGCTCTTTTTTATCAGAGGTTCGACTGAATTTACGCCGTAAAATCTCAAGTAATTAATTAACAAATAGATTTCATGTTGCCGTGTGTCTGTTTCGTAAAAGGTCGCGGATGACGTCAAAACATGGTGAAAACAAAAGAGTCGCATACGAGGAGCAGCCGAGTGTGTCATTGATGTTCTTACCACATTTTAACGTCTTCTGTGATCTCTTGCTAAACAGACTCAAGGCAAATGACATATATTTATTTAATACGATAAAAGAGCAAAAGTGCTGTTAATAGTGACGTCATCTATTCGTCTGTCCTCCAATAAATCATAAGTGAGAACCAATCAAATTGCGTTTATAAATCAGCTCACCACGTAAAGTGAAATGTTCGACACGGTACGAACTTACAAATGTTTTGTGCTCTAATGAATATTTTCAGCAGTACGCTGAGGTAAAGTATTTAAAAGAAAAAAAAAATCAATCAGTGTTATTCGACAGCCGACTTACGTCATCCTCTTTTCCTACTTCATTGGCAGCAACTGCAGCGATACACTCCAACACAGCTTCCATGGGCTCTTTGAGAAGCTCTCGTTCGATGGGCTCCACAATGAATGGCTTAATAGCATTCCAGTAATGACGGGCAGCAGCAATCACTAAATCGTAGTTTCCAGCTTTTTGCCCAAACCTAAGATGTGACACAGAGAAATCGTGCGCAAAGAAGTAGGTTTTGTGTTTAACCTCAGGCGGAGTCATTAACGCCGCATTAACTTACATACTTGAAGTATAAAGCTTTTGCCTTTATAAGGCGGCTTATATTCGAGAGAAGCGGTGATTTCAAAATCATATTTCGGAAATCATTGACGACAACTACGGCAAATCTCTGGAAAATATTATGCGAACAGAAACATGTTTCAATTTCAAACGTTTCGCTTTTTTCGCTGAGAATCGTACTTAGTTAGATTGTGATATATGCATCACGGATGATGTAGCTAACTACACTCAATAAAAAATCTCTGATGCTGGAATACACGCCCTTAGGTGCAGCTTCTATCCGAGGGTGGCATTCATTCAATTGGTAATTTTGTTTTTCATCCGCGGCCTTAACCCTTTAACTGCCATCGGTGACCGAAACAGTATTTCTCTCTACAATATATTAGAATATCAAGCGGACAGGTGATGAGAAAAAAAGAAAAATATTAATAAGGGGATTGTTAGATGATCCGATACCAAAATTCTCCGAGCTAACATAAGATTGTATGGCAGACAAAAAGGAGGATTACTTATGTGATCTTGGGAGTAAAAGGGTTAAGATCGTTGTTTGATTGACTGTCGTGAAACCGATACCAGAGAAATTACATTAGCTAATCAGAAGAAAATGGAAAATACCCTAACAACAAAAACAACAACAGCAACTTTATTTGTACCCTTAAGAGCCAAAGAGAATTCAAAGTTTAGTAAAACAAGCAACCTGCCCGAAGCACAGGAAAACGCGGGTAAACTAAGTCGTGATTGGTTTCAGTCTCATCTAACAGGCTTAGAGAGTGGCGAGCTTTTTTCTGTACCATAACAGAGCGAACATAAGAGAAATCAGTGCAATCCCAGTTTACAGTCTACACTCAGTCGTATATTATTCTAACTGGGTGAATCGTACGTTACGGAGCTAACACAGTACAAAAGCACGGGTATTACCTGCATGCATTCACAAAGCAGACTAGTGCGTCTCTCCTTATCTCATTCTTTCCCTGCATGTTTTTCATGAGGCTTTGTCCCATCACAACGCTAGCGTAATACAACATCTCCTGCTCTACCACAAGTTTGTGCTGAAATGTGCTGCAATTCAATTGAATGGTGTCATTTTCAGCGTCATAAAATGACAGGGTATGACAATACGATTTCTATCAAAACACAAGAACTTGATATGAAGCAAAACCAAATCACATTGGCTCCAGAAAAATGATTCAACCACTTCCCTGCTTTGAGTGTAGAAAGGCAAAGAAAATTTACAAGCGTTATAATGGATACAATCTGTATAATATTGCCATGGGCGTTTAAAAGAATGGTGGGGTATACTAAATGCGTAGAAACTACCTTTTAGAATTTAGACATGATCTAAGGATTTTATTGACAGGACAAATAAACATACATATCAATATGAGAAAAACTTCAAGCAGAATGGTAATCATGATAAAAAGGAATGACGCGTGAAGAAAAATTTACAACGATGGAAAGGTAAATAGGAAAAGAGAGAAGACTATCACGCAGAAAAGTGATGGAAAAGGGTCAAACAGGACACTTTCAACATGCCAGTGACAGAGGCTAAATTAGCTAGATTAGCACTAAAAGAGAGTTCCCAGTTAGAGAGAGCGGAAAGAGAAGTAAGATTGTTCTCGCACCTATCTGGTTTCTTGGGTTGTCGCTTAGCTAGGCATTTATCACTGTCGGCAAATTCCACAGCCCTCTGTCCACAGTGAAGCACTAGTGAATGATTGTCAGCATTGAAAGCCAACACCGACAGCCTGCTCCACATCTGTAACTCTACCAGACCGTCACTCCACTGGCAGCCATCTACCATTTTCACAGTCTGCAGAAAAAAAAAACCCAATTCAATTGCCAATGATTTAGTACGTTCGTTGTTGATGAATCATCTCGAACGAATATTTCCGAAGGAAAAGAAAAGCTAGTTCAATTCAACAAGCGGAAATACAGAAGCTCCCCTCTAATAAGAAAAAGAAAGGGAGGAAGATAAAAAAAAACAACTGAAGGTGGTCAGCCGGTAGAAAGAGGGGCACGATGGGAAGAAATGGGTCTCAAAGCTCAGGATCATATGCAGTGGTGGATCGCGATGAAGAGAAAGAAGAATTTGTTGTTATTGACTGCTATTGACTCCGTTGCACCAGATAATTGGGGTTTTAGGGGTTATCTAAGTCACTTTTTTTAATGAAATAAAGAATTGATTCTCGAGTGGCACTTCAGGTTGATAGACTTCATGGGCTACATTTCTTTCAATCGCCATTTGATGGATATTGTGGCAACAAATAAACAATTCCACAGGGAGAGTACTTGATAACAAGACAAAACGTTTTCGCTTTACATTGTATTTACTGCCGAATATCTATATCATATCATATCATATCTATTCTTTGACGACATTCGTTTATTTTCAAGGGAAACTTCTCAAAGAGAACTTATTGTTGTAACGACGCTTGAAAGAGCATGAATCACCGACTCACCTCGGCAAGAGTAGGACATGTACCAGTGAATTCTGGGAGGCCATTGTTCTGTAGAGACAGCATCTCAACTGCACACAGAGCACGGCACATCGGGCCCTGGCTATGGGGATTCTAAAAATTAAAATTTGAACACGAAATTACTAACTTAAGCAGACGAGAGGGAGGAAGAACTATCAAAACTGCAATAGTACTCGGTAGCAAAACCTAACCTCGTCATCATGACCAAGATTCTTTGCCATCTGCTGATTCAACATCTGCTTACAGAACACCCAGGAAGTGATTAAGGGATGGCGAGCACCGATCGGTACTAGGTTTTTTGGCTCTTGGCCATTAGTTGTGTTTAATGCATACTCCAACACCTGAAGAACAGTGCAGAACGAAAATAAAGAAATCGTATTACAAGTAACAGGGCCCGAAATTAACTTATCTACGCCAGCGCCAAGTGGCAATTGAACATTTTTGTTTCAATTCACACAGCGTTGATCACTAGGCCACAAAGTTTCCCACAAATAACGCGAAACCCGCCTCTAAGAAGGCTAAGCACTCCAACAGAAAGCGCTTACAAAGAAGTGATTTTACAGCGAATTTCCAATTTCATAAACAAAAGCGCGACGAAAGCGGCGCGACGACTGGTCGAACAAGAGAGAAGAAAATCTTCGACGCTTCACAGGATTGGAGCCTCATCTTCGCGACTTTTAAGTGTCTTAATGACGCTCCACAATAGAAATATACAGCCATACTTTGAAACAATTTCTCGTTCAAATGAACAAAATTTTCACGTATGCCATTCAACATGTACTAGATTGTTATAGAAAAGTTCCCTTACATCTAATGCTTGTTTCAGATCGGGTGTAGCTTCAGGATCGATCGTAACTGTCTGTAGTGATCCTTTTGATTGTCCTCCCTTGGCCCCTTTCCCACTCTGGCGTCCCTTTACTTTCTCAGTCTTCTCACTCTTGTCTTTACTGGGTGTGGCTGATGCTGTGGGAGGGGTGGGAAGAGCTGGGATCCACGGCTGCATGTAACCTTGAGCAATGGCATTACAAATTTGGCACAACAATATTGTTTCACTGTTGAAAAGAAAAGTTTGAGCTGAAATCTTCCTCAGAAGTAGTTTTACTGTATTTTAATACTCACTCGCACAGGCAGTTGGAAAAATGTTGAGACACCTTGGTCAAAATATGCATTTGATATCGTATTGATACCAAATCGTTTCATTAACCGCGTGAAAGAACTCTTCTTTCATTTAACTTCCTTTTCCCAAATATGTTGAACCTGTTTCACTGCAATCGATAGCCTCATGAAAACATTCTCACCCTGCATGTCCGGTAAGCTTCACTGCTTCCAACACAGGCGAGAATATGGGAATGACTTCCTTGTGTCTGCCTTGTGACAGCATGTGGGTTGCATAGTTCCACAAGTACACAGCTGAATTGCAAACAAGCCATGACTCTTTCAGCTCTACGCCGATTTCAGCGGCTCGCTGGAAACTGTAAATCACCTCATTCGACAAAGACGAAATCCAGTTGCTAACAGAATGGGGGAAAAATATGTGAAACATAAATCTTGACAAAACTGACCACAATAAGAACATCGTAGCCGTTCTTTGAGAAGTCACGCAATGCTCTCTCTCTCTCTCAGAAAGAGCATTGCGCGACATCCAAAATAACGTTTGCGAAAGAGAGTGGCAGAACAGGAGTCCTTTAGATGTGCTTATCAGGCACGTGGAAGTACAAGCGAAGCGAGCGCGACTGCACGAGGCGCATCACTCGCGAGGAAAGAAGCGTGAAAAGAAGGGAGATCTTTCAAGATCACAAAAAGATAATGAAATTGAGCGCTAGATGGGTGTAGATTTTTTGTATGATTTAACATCGCCAATTTTAATTTAAAGCTGCTATTTTGAAAAGAGATACATGTATGTTGCTTACCAATAGGAGACCCATTCTGGCATATCATCAAAATTGACGAGCTGATCACCGTATCGCTTAGGGCGCAGCTTGATGGTATCCTCAGGTGGCACTGGTTTGTCACCCAGTTGGACTCCTTCAGTTCTTAGTAACTGTACCAAAGCCTGTAGGGAAGGGACCATTATAAAGGGAGGGTTAGGGGTCACCACGATACAAAAAAAAAAGTAATGCGAGGGGAAGAGTACGCTAAATAATTAACCCACAATGATAATCCAGGGTTGTGGTGTAGCATTCATCTGTTAAACTTCCACTTACTTCATCAGAAGAAAAAAGCCTAAGCAAGAATTTATTTAAACAAAAAGAATTCCGTACATGGAAATATTGGACTAAATTGTCATGCTGCGTACGAATAGTACCCGTAAAAAGGCCTCATAAATTCTTTCTCGTGAAGATAAACGTTGTGTGATTCAGTTCTGCTGCTAAAGTTTAGTCAAATAAAATCTAGAAATGACTCAGTAGAACACACTTTTCTCAGTAGAACACATTTTTCTACTTGACCCTTCAACTCCCAGCAGTTATCCGTATAATATCCATAAATTATCCAGCAATTTAGATAGAAGTTGTTATCTTCATCTAAAACCTAATCCTCGAAACTAATTTACCAGGAAATACGTACCAGCTTTGGGGGGGGGAGGATTAACGATGCGATCTTGAGATTTAAAGAATTAAAGCTGATAACATTTGATCATTTGTTATGATCAGGACCGCCTTCGTTACTTAGATCTTCACAATGGCTTCAAAACCATTCCAAAAAGTCAGATTCTGATTTTAGATAACTCTCGTCTTCTATGAACTTCAGTTTACGAACCTCAGCAAAAATAAAACGAACTTCAGCCAGCGTTCTCAACAAATCCTGTTCCACAGTAAATGCTGTCATGCCCTCGGGATACAACAGTTTCATTCCTGTTGCATCAAGTCTGCCGCCAACTTCGCCTGGTAACGGCGACTTACTCCCTGTTGGATCATCTCTCTCAGTGTTACCTTCACCATTTTTCTCTGATGTGCTGGTAGATTGTCTCTTCGACCAACGATTGTCGTCATAAAGAAGGCAGAATCTAGCAGCAACGCGGGCAACATCCCAGACCTGCTGTTTACGCGCAGTCTTGGCTAAATCTGCCCAAATACGAACTCTGGTGGAACAAAAAGAACTTTTATCAATTTTTGGCCGAGCAATCTGTTGTTTCATCCTCTTTTGGTTCATCTAACACTTACACTTACTCTCACATTGAAAATTTGTAGTTGCAAGAGATTACAATCTCTTAGTAGATGTCGTAGCTTAAGCACTGCAAATGTCAGTAACACATGTGTTTGTGTATTTTTTCCTTCACCTTTCTTGATCGCTTTCATCTCCCAGCCTCTTCAAATGACCAGCAGCCTTGCTGACTCCCTTCTCAAACTGCTTCGCTCTTCCAGCCAATCTTCCTAATGCAGTAGGTGGACCTTTCCCAGTAGATGGGTCCTTTGTATTACTCTCACTGTCAAGCACATGCATGAAGGCATCCGGTGACAACGCCTCCCCTGCCTTCACTAAGGAAGCTCTCTTCATACGAACTGTGCTGGAGTCATCACTAGCCCTCGCCTGTAAGTTGGCAGCAATGTTATTATTGTGGATTTCATTATTACAAAATGTAGCGCCTAAGATTTCCAAGCCAGGGCTCAAAACCGGACCTCTAAATTAGAAGTTTTGCATGACTATTACACAATCGCATTTCTTACAGTTTTTGTAGAGAAGTAAGCAAATATTAAAGACCTTTGAATCCTTTGACTCCTAAGAGTGACAAGCATCTAACTCCTTACAATATCTCGACAAAATCACAGGTTATGGTCGAGAGAATACAGGAAATAATCACCAACTAGAGAAGCTCTTGACTGTGAAACAAATTCTCCTTTTCAGTACATCAGGAAATATACAGAGGACAGTAAGGAGAATATGCATACTGATGCTAGGGTGTAAAGGGTTCATCAGCTTAACAAATAGATTCCATGTTGCCGTGCGTCCGTTCAGTAATAGATCAAAGATGACATCAAAATGTTGTAAGAACAAAGAATCGCACGAGACGCTCTCAATTGTGTCACTGATATTCCCACCACATATTACCGTCTTCCGTGATCTATTACTGAACGGACTCGCGGCAATATGGAAACTGTATTTTTTTATATGATAGAAAAGCAAAATTAACAAAATATTGTTAATGGTGACGTCATCTATGCGTCTGTTCTCCAACAGATCACAAAGTAAGAACCAATCATAAGGCGTGAATGATTCAGCTTATCATGCAACATGGCCTCATGGGTTATAAGCCATTATACTATCGCGCATGAAGACAAGTTAAACCGGAAGTGTTTTTGTACATTGTAACATTCCGTAAAATAATGTTGGGAAGATTTATCTATAATTTGGAGCGTTTTCGATAAAACAATTATTCCACCCGAACTATCATCTCATATCCAACGCGCGCTCGTGGAATAATTTTTTAGTAGATTGACTGATTGATGCACCACTCATTTGAATTAAAACAGTATGTCGTATATGATGTTACTATTGATGTTTTCTTAATTTCAATGCTTTCTCATGCTTTCTGTTGAAAATTCTCTAAATCTTTCGCAACATAAAAGTACGACAAGAAAACTGCACTGATTGAAATCTTGAAGGTGCGTAACCACACAAGAGAGTCAGCCCGATTAAAATCTCAGCTCTTTGTTAATCAAAAACTCGGGATTCTAACCTGCTCTATAATCATAGCAGCCAAATCTTCAGGCCTTTCAGGAGTTTTGTAAAGAGTGGCTCTTAACTGTAGCCTTGTCAGGGCAGTGCGTAATCTATCACCATACTGTCCTGAGTCATCCAGTTCAAGTGCCTTTCTTAGATGTGTGACAGCATACTCCAGTTGATCTTCAGCCTCTTCACATTTAGCCAGTTCTGTGTGCATCTGGCATCGTAACAGAACCAACAAACTAAAGGACAATATATAAAACAAGAAAAGATCATGCTTACTCTTTAAGCAAAAATGCAATATTGAGCAATTAATGTTAATGTTGATGGTGTCCTCTAATGCACCTTATAATGCACTTTATAACACTTTGCAGGGGACTTTAGCCATACTGCAATTTAGGAATTTTTGGAAGCAAGACCAGACAACAACACCAGAGCTACATTCCCTACTCTTTACAAGAAGTGCGCATGTTCTTTAATGTCACCTGCTAACCAGCACAGATTATGTGCAGGAGACAGGGCCTACAGTTTTATTGTCCTTACCCGAGAGGACTAGAATGTCATAACAAAGGCAGCACATTCTCCTTAGTTTTTTTAAGACCCTGAATGTTGGTTGGTCTAAATCAATTTATCAAATTAATTTATCAAATTAATGAAATCAAACTTTCATGTATTTTACATGAATCTCAAAGATAAAAATACCTAACTAAGAGTTATATTTTTAATTAGAGGTATTCTTTTAACATTTGGAAACAAAATAATGAGAAGGTTTTCTGAAATAAAAGTTTGTTGTCCATTTGCTTAATGTACCTATCAATGTCTTCCAAGGCTTGTGCAGCAAGGGTAAGGGGCTTTCTCACATGATGTCGCAAATTTGACTGCAGAAGAGGCAGGGTAAGATTCCACATTGTCACACATCCTGTCTGTAAAACAATAAAATTAACTTTCATCACAGTACATGGCATACCTTAAATAATCATAACATTATACCTCTTCATTCTTCTTACTGGTCTGAATTACCCTTCCATAGAGGTGTCCTCTCTTCCCCTCAACAAATGTGTTCATTGGGCAATCATAAGTACAGAAAGTGTTATCAATAAACATTAGTTACAGTGAAAAATTAAAGTCATTTATACAATAAGAAAGTTATCAGACCTGTATAATATTTGGATTTCCGGTTCTAACAGCTGTCATTATACATTGTTCAAGTTTTCTGATTGCTTGAATACGTCTCTGAAAGAAAACACATAACCATAATGTGATATTGTAAGCCTAACATTCATTCTGGACAGTTCCACCCAGTCACCATCTGAACAGAGGTAAAAAAGTTGGGGTTGGTTATTTCAATAAATGAAGTCTATAGGATGCACTTTTGGACAATCAATATACCTTGATATCTCTTTATAAGTTTGTTTTGTTTTGTTTTTTTTTTTTGCAGAACTAAATGTTTCTATTCCTCATACATGCCAGTAAAAATGTTTCTATTCCTCATACATGCCAGTAAAAATCAAAAAATAGAATGTGAACTTTGGGTGGCTACAAAACTGAAAAATGGATGGCTCCAAGGTACACAGGTTCACCCTATGTTTTTTTCAATAAAATACTTGCCTCCACCACAGATTTGCTGTAATTTTCTTTCTTTTTGCCAAGGGACTGAACCATCAACTCACACTTCATGAACTCAATTTCCAGCAATGTCTCAGAAGTCTGAAAATACATGATACAACTTTAGATTTGTCTTTAAAAACTTAAACATGTTCAAAATCAATAAAACCATAAGGCTCATTGGTATTGAAATATAAGAATCCCTTACGGGGTCTTACAATTCTACTATCTTGATCAAACCATCTTCTTTCTTTAAATCCTGATGTTTTTTATCTCCTAATTCCAATCCCCTGCCACATTCATTTTAGTCAATTCAAAAGACAACTCTCTGCAGATCCCTTGGTTCTTTGATGCAATACATCTTGCTTCCCACCATGCAAAATGCTTTGATCCTGTGTTTGGTTCAATTATTTACAATCCCAAATCTGGCTTCCCTTCTCCCCTAAATTCCAGAATCACTAGACAACAGACTGAAACCTTAATGGGGAACATCTTTGACTCTCTAGCGGAAACCCATCTTAACCCTTTACACCCTAAGAGTGATAAGCATCTAATTTCTCCTTGCTGTATCACCCCTGAATCACACAGTTAGGTCACTAGAATAAAGAAAATGATCACCAACTAAGAAACTCTTGATTGTGAAACAAATTCTCCTCGTCAGCACTTTAGGAAATGTAAATAGAATAGTATGGAGAATATACATACTGATGTTAGGGTGTAAAGGGTTAAGGGTGTAACGTAATAGTTCAATCAAATCACCCTACCAATTGCAAGTGATGAAGATTTTATCAATGCCTTGATCAACAAACTACTACTTGCCTTAACACCCCCTTTAAGATTTTCAATACAGTCTGAGGCTAAATCATGCCTATCATGCTCCAAGCAGAGTCTGGCCAACTCAATGAGAAGTGGTATCCTGAAGAAGATTGAGTGTAGAAAAAATCAGATCAATTAATAAAGCAGAGTTCACTCTTTATATAACTCACATGCAGCTTTTTGGAGCATTGGTCACTATGAAAATGTTCAATACTACTAGGAGATATTTAACCAGACAATGACTCTGTTAGTGTCTTTCCTGGTGTTCTGTTTAACCTGTGAGATTTTTTTCCAAACTTGTGAATTCATAACATTATCTGATGTAATTTCAAAACCTCTAAGCAGTTACTGCAGTTGTATTAGTATGTGCCATCACAAGTAGTACATTTTAGCTGTAAGTGTTTGATTAGAGAACACTGCGCTGTACTTATATTAATATGTGCTGTCACAAGGGCTTATTGTAATTTGCGAAACAAAACAAAATGAAATGAAAATCTGTAATTTGCAAAATGGATATATTCTGATGATTTGCAAAATAGAAATCTCAAATTACAGATTTCTATTTTGCAAATCATTAGCATATTTCCATTTTGCAAATTACAGATTTCTATTTTGTTCAGATTTCATTCCATTTTGTTTCATTTTGTTTCATCTTGTTGCATTTCGTTTTGTTTTGTTTCATTGCGTTGCATTGCATTTTATTTCATTTTGCAAATTACAGTAAGCCATCACAAGTGGTACATTTTAGCTGTAAGTGTTTGATTGGAGAACATAGCGCTGTACATTCTAAATATCAAATAAGTGGTTGCAGAACTGTTTTATTCACCTGTCATTACTTCCAACAACATAAGGAGAGCTGGCTTTGCTGGTTGACGTACTTGTAGACATGGCTGTACTAGCTCGATCTGTGGCATCCACCCCCTTGACTATTGATTTGTAGATTTTGTTTAGTTCTTGTTCTATGTCAACTTTTTCATCTGCTTCAATCAAGCTGTTGACAAAATGTGACATTTTCAATTGAAAATTGTTAACAATACTAGAAGTCTTTGATAGTTTCTGTGTGTATGAGAGTTTGCACATTTATCAACTTGAAGGCATTTCTAATTTTACTGTTGGTAGCTTCAAAAAAAGATTTATCGGGGTAAGGATGTCATGATGCCTAAGCCTTAATGACTGACATTGATTTTAAAACTGAACTTCTCTAAGGGTTAAAAATTTCATACATTCCAAATTGTAGACAATGTACAGAAACACTAAAAACATGAGATGATTATTGTTTGGTTCAAGATGCCCTAATCTAAATTCAGAAAGTGTGACTTCAAGATAACACATTGTACTTTTACAGATGATGACCAAGAAATATACAAAGTTTCAAAACGTAATGTACATATCTGTACAGCTATATTTTTGTGGGAATTGAATCATTTGTACTACACATGGATTTGATGAAAACCTCTTGGCACCATATTCTGAAGAATTCTAATTCAACATATCCCTTTAAATATGTGTATTTATCACAACTCACGTTCTAAGCCTTTGGATCTTGTAGAACATGTACAACTCATTGGAAGCTCTTGCTTCTTTTGATGCTTTTGACAAATCAATCAGTCGATGACGAACCTAGCAGACAGAAAAATAGTACATTAAGACCAAATGTGAAATGTAAAGAGTAGAAAACAAGATCTGAACATTTGATCATTGCAGACCTCACCTGCAGTCCTAGTACAGTTGTGTATAATGAAGGAACATTACTTTTAGTGAATGCCAAAGTGGCAATACTGATTTGAGTGGCATCTTCTTTACGTCCTGCATCCACATGGCATTCAATCAATGCACTACTCAGAAGAAAGCATTCAGTTAGTTACTAAGACAAAGGTGAGACTGACCTTGAAGCCATGTACAAAACATAATCATGATACACATTAAAAAATGACTGAAAAAGTTCATTGCAGAATTAATATGTATATGATTTCAAAGTTATGTACAAAATAATAATCAGAGTCACTCTATGTCTTGGTTTGTTCCATTTTGAAAATTTGTTTGAGATTTTTAGTCATCATGATCCATACTCATCACAATAAATTGTAAATTCCATGGATTTCCAGGTTTTCCATGACATGAACAAACCTTGATGCAATACAATGTTTTCTTTTTTCATTTTAATATGGACAGAGAAACAATTAAGATAGCTATAATTATTTTTCTGTCCTTACTGTTCTAGATGACCCCTCCCAATGCACACACCCAAAGAACTCTGCCAACTCCCCAACCCTAATGTTATCATGAATTACCAAGCATTCAAGAAGAAGGACAAAAACAAGAACAGTCTTATGGAAAGAAAATAAATGTTCAGGGGAAAAATGGAGAGGAGGAGGAAGAGCTGAGAAACAAACTTCTGTCACTGATAGTACTAATTGCTTTACTGAATTGCATATAGGTCTGAATACCTAAGGACAAAAAAACAAAAAGAATAAAACAAAAAAAAAAAACAGAATGCTCACATCATTAGCTGAGCTCTCCAGCCATAATCTTTGTCATCAATATCATCCAGTGCTTTCACAACCTGATGCAGACTTTTAGCCAAATATTGGCGATAGTTGGGCTTAAGGAAAGGACGACAGAACTGCCAATACAGTACTGAAGCATTGTACACCAAGAAGTAGTATCTGTAATGAAATTTCTAGACTGAAGTAATGGACAGCCATTTCATGTAAGTTAATAAATTATACAAGCAATCCACAATTAATTAATATAAACATATAGAGTTTAACTAGCAATGTTATTTACAAATAGATTGCAACTCATACCTAACATTCTTTTTGGCAAAATTAATTGCCTTCAATAGGGATTCCACTGCTTTATCAAGTTGCTCCTGTGAAAACATTACAAATATGCCTAGCTCAATGAAACTGTGTCTATGCCAAAAGCAATGTCAGCCAGTGGAGGAAGTTCTATCTAGATTATGTACAAAAAGTTCACAAATTTAAAATGAGCTTTTTTGATGTTAAAGATCAGTAAGGAAGGATAGCATAAAATTAATTTTTCTTTTCTTTTCAAGAACAACTCAATATACAAAGACGTTGCACTGTTATTATTCATATGCAAACTAGCATTTGAAGCTTTTTTCTCTTACATCTTGCACCTTACAAAAAATGCTTTATACAGTGTATATGGTTTCTATGTAACTCTTTTCAAAATAACAGCACACCCATACTTCAGTTTTTAACATATTTAAAGACTGCTTTTGAACAAATAGGTTGATCTTTCAAATCTCAAAATGTGGATCAAAACAATAACTGTTTGCAGCAAAATTAAAATTAACTTGTTTCTTAATCATACTTCTTCTTTCAAAATCACTCAAAGGTGAAATTGGATAAATATTGAATTAAATCAATTCATAAAAGCTCTCTGGAGAGGAACATCTGGTCCTAGTTGTTGAAAGGGTAGATAACACTATCCACTTGATAAATCTCTTTCTGGTGGATAGCACAGTATGTTTTGTTTGCACTTATCAGCTGGATAGCAAATTATCCATCAGAGGGTGTTATCCACCTTTTGAACAACTGGACCTAGGGGTTTCATTATATTTTTCGATAACAGGCTGCCAATGGTGTAATAGGCTGTTGTGCCTAGAAAGGGGCCATAAAGCAAAAACCAAACATGAGAGCCTGCATGCAGGTTGAACAGACACTGGTAAGAGGTCTTGCAGGTAACCATAGACTACTGGTAAACAGCTTTTAAGGAGACCCCTGGAACATGTAAAAATTGTAACAGTTATAATAGGAATAAAATCAAAACTCACTGGATTCTTAGAAGAAGTTGGAGCATTGAGCTGAGCTTGACACAAATAAGCTCGACATAGAAACTGATTTGAGGGAGGAGTCTTCTGAAAAAACATTTTTACACAGTCATCCATGACATCAAATTGACCATGCTGTACAGGGTAAAAGAAATGCATTAGTTGAAAATAGACAAGTTCATAAACAACAATAAACATGTGAACAAATAAATCAATTTATATATTACATGAATGATAGTTATGTAACAGCACCTCCATAGGGTCAGGGAGGATCATTGTTCCATAGAAATTTAGAAAATTGGCCTCTCTAGAGACAAGAAAAGCAAGGAACCTTTAGAGAGCTCTCCAGCACCACTGCCCTGTGTTTGTGAAGTGAAGGGTAAGACCAAGTTGCGATGAAGTGGCATACACTTAGTAAAATTATAGAGGTTTCATGCTTTAGAAGATAGAGTAAAGAACAAGTTGTGTGTTGTGGATATGTTATTGGCCTTATTTTCACTACAGCTTAAGTGGTGTTCATTAGTGTGGAGGTCACACTCATATTCATTTCTAAAAAAAACACAGTTCACATATATGATTTTCATATTTTCACAGTCACTGATTCACCATTCCACCAGTTCATTATGAACCAATATAACGACCAGCTCCCAGTTGGCTAATGTTAGCTCAGTTGGTAGAGCACTGCACAGGTATTGCAAAAGTCATGAGTTCAAATCCCATAAAGGCCTGAAGTTTTTTAGGCCTTATTTTCACTACTGCTTACGTGTAAGTAGTGTTTATTACTGTGAAGATTGGTTTCATATTCATAATCATTATTGTTTCCACAATACTGGTATGTTTGTTGTGATATACACAAAGGGTAAACAAAACTTTTCTTTTGTTACTGCTGCTTGTCTACAAATAATATAAAGGTTTGATTTATTTGGTATAATCATTGTTTCCCATTCACTTCATTTTTTTTTAGATTTAATTACTAACATTTTCACTCTGCACATTTGACACCTCAGACATACCATGGTAAGATTCCTGCACAGCCCCATATTTCATTATGCATACAGTTCATGCATATAGAAAACAATAGCGAAAACGGTAGATTCCCTTTAGGATTACGACTTTGTTTTAAAACAGTATCTATAGGGTTGTGCAGAAATCTTATCCATATCAGGACCAATAAAAATTTTTCCGTTTTCACTGACTGTTATACTAAGCCTTTCCCTGTGCTAACTTAATTTTCCTCAACCGCTGAGGTCTTATTTAAAAGACATTCAAATAGAATGCTTGATTGAGCATAATCAATTAATTAAGCTGAGTGCAGACAACTCTGGTCGAATTAGAATTTACTCTTGATATGTACAATTAACAATTGTTAAAAGTTTCATGCAGGTGGAGCACTTCCACCAGGAATTCTAATCCAGTTCAAATTACACTCCTCTAAAATTAAACAGTTGTTATAATGCGACATACCTTTTGCGCTGCTTCGGCGCACAATACGAAAAGATCCGATGAAACTGCATCGATTTTGTCATCTGACGATTGCCTTTCCTTCTTCAACTTGCTGTAAGCCTCAAACAATGCAGACTCGTCATTATCTTGCGACGCTGCGTGAACAAGTTTCCGAATATTGCTGTCCATCTTTGTGCCAAAGTTCGTATGGGTTCAAACAAATTTTAACCGTGTTTTTTACAATGTTTTTACAAAATAACCTTGAATTCGTCCACCATATTGGATTTTCTCAACACCGTCGCCATAGAAATGAAATGCGCGGGAGTTTTGATTTCTATCACGTGATACAAGCTGATCGAGGAAGCTTGGAACCAAACTGAGTGGGAGGAAATTTTTCCAACCTCAATGTACAGAGTAGATGGTTTGAGAACAATCTTCATAACAGCGTCCCGATCGGTCAAAACACCTGGTGTGATCTGTATCTGAAGCTTTAAAGCTTTAAAGCTTCGTTTTCATGTACAAGAAGTAAGATGCACCATCAAAAGATTATTCCACAGCTCGTGTATTTACCGGGTAGAAATCTACATCCTGCGCACGAAGTGGTTGAAATTGTATGGCGATTTCCCGTTCTACTTCAAGGTAAGAACCTGTAACAAGGAATTTCACCGTAGATATTGGTTTGTAGTTAAAATTTATTACTTTCGACGGAAGCATCAGCCTCGTGGCTGCTTCAGCTTTCTTCAGCTGATTTTCGCTTCGTCGCCATTGTGCTAGTTCTATTCATACATTAGACAGCTGATCTTGAAGGGAGGTGAAGACTTTACAACATTATTTTGTATCAAGTCTAGCCAGATCAAAGTCCGTCATCGTTGTCACGTTGAAAACATCATTTATTTTTGTTGGTTAACTACCGAGCTAGTTCCTAACCGTATAAGCGCCGTGTGTATATCCTCAATTCATGTAAGAAATTCACAATCTAGATGCATGTGGACAAATTCTTATGAATAGTTGGAGGTACATAACATTCTCCCTTGACTCCGTACTTGCGCGCTCTTCCATTCCCGTAGGTTATGAAATCAGCCACTATTTCTGTAATTAGAAAGTGTAGCAAGGGGAAGACTATCATATATATTTTACAGATCCTTTTTGATGTAATTTATTTTTTGCAAGAAGTAAACAAAAAATGGTCCATCTTGTTTGAATTAAACTTTGGACCAGAACTGACAGGCTTTAAAGTATTGGTACTCGAGTTTTACATTTGAGGCCAGATGCTGATCAGTGTAAATGAACATTGGTCATGCAAGATTTCACATGCTTTGACACCACCTTTGGGTGGGGTCTTCTATTATTCTAATATACATGTGCTGCCATCTGAGATATTGTGTTAAATAGAAATCCATGTTGCTGCAAAGCAAATTAACCACACAATCCATCAGGTATCAATTTATTGGAAGTATCAGCATTATTGACCATTTGAACAACCGATGCCCTTAATATACAAAAGGGTTTAAAACACTGTTTCACTTAAGATTTGCTTTTCCCCAGCATTTTACAAATAATCTGCACAGTCGGTATTCTTCTTGTAGTCTGATCATTCCAGCTTGATAAGTTCTGAAAAAGACTGTGTTGGTGATGGTGACTGACATTTCAACAACCTGAGCAAAAGTTGTTATTAGAATCAAGCAAAGTTTTTTTGTCAGTCAAGTTTTACATGTCTGGTTTGCTTGATTGTGTTGTCTGATCTTTTATGTGAGAGTAGTCCTGAAAGGAATTGTTATCAGTTGTGGTGACTGACATTTGACAACCTTGGTGGAAGTCATCATCTTTTGCCTTTGATGATTGATTCTGCTAAGGTTGTTGAAACATCAGACCATTCTACTGACAACAATTTGTTTTTCAGTCCTACACTTTTTCACCCTGAAGATTAGACTTCACAGTCAAATATTACCCTTGGATTTAAACCATTGAAAGTAGGTGTGGTCTGTGAAAACCAGTTGTTCACTTGACTCTGATAGTGACTTTCTCTCTGGTTGTAAAACATAGGTCACTGTCAGCAGTTACAATATTTTTTAGGACTACCCTCTATACTGAGATGATCAGACTTCGTGATTAGCTAATACTTTGTTTCTATCAACTGAGAATAATCAGTGACCAAAGCTAATGATTTAGGTGTTAACCTTTCAACATAGCAATGAGCAGTTACTGCTGAGGGGAAGCCATTAACCCTTTAACTCTTAAGATCTGATTGTTAATTCTCCCCTCTAGCTGCCATTCATTTTCTTGTAAATTGGTTGTGAGATGCTGGTGCAAGATCAAGATAAAAAGTATTGATAATTTTGAGTCTCTTAGCCTTTTAACTCCCAAAAGTGATAAACTTGTAACTTCTCCCTATTATATCCATACATGTACATTTTCCATCAAACAGGTAATGAGAATACTCAAACTGATCAAGTAGAAGTTTTTATGTTGACCTACAACTGAACCCCAAAATTCTTGTAACCAATTTTCAAGTAAATTTTTGGCAACCAGAGAGGAGAATTAACAACCATCATGGTATTTTTCAGACTAAATGTGGGGCAGGTCATGTCTTTAGCAAAGAAACTATACTCTCTGTCTTGATCTTAGCCTTTACACGGGGAAGGGACATATAGACACTGGCCAATGGATACCATGTAACATGCCATGGAAGTTTAGGAGAAACTGTTTGGTGTAGAAATTTTGTGGGTATCAATGTACTTTTGACTTAGTAGATTGCCCTTGATGCAAAAATTAAAAAAGGTTTTAATGGAAAAGATCCTGCTAAATGAAAATTTATGAAAAATTTTTACCTTCCGTCTGTTAAAAATCTCTGTATGTAAGTCATGTATCAGTTTTTTTTTAAATATCTACATATGATAATCATGAATGATCTAACATCCAACAAGTCCTGAATTTTTTTAATGTAAGTTGTTGATTTTCTTCCTTGTCAGACTTATCAATGTTCTGCCTATTTAACAGAAAATTGCAAAAATTAGTTCCCAGCCAAAATCTCAGTCAATTAAAACTAGAAAATCATATGTTTTCACAAAACAGAAAAAAATGCCAATTTGCAAATTATACATGTGATTCCCATGAAAATTGTTCATGCCATACTGTAATATTTTGTTTGACTTTAAAACCTTTACTATTTTGTACCAGAGGAGGAATCACATGCACTCTCAGCCTTAGCTTTGTATGATGCCATGAAAGTCTTCACCCATGGACATCTTTGTCATTGATAATGCTTCAAGAGTGAAAGTGCAAAAAGAAAATGGCATGTATAGGTTCATCATGTAAAAAGGCTAGGAAACACTTCACATTACTCAACTAAAGAGTTGTTTCAAATTTTATCGAATCAGAAAAGCATTGTTGACCTCTACCATATTGTATTATTGTATTGATTGGTACTTTTGGATTAATTTGTTCTTTACCTTATTTACTTGCATATAAATCGAACTTGTGTATAAGTCGATCCCCATTTTCAAGGTCAAAAATCAGATTTTTCATCATTTCTAGTAAAAGGAGTCAAATTTAGAACAATAGTAATTTCCCAAAAAGTTAATCTCTTATTTCTGAGAATGTATTGAAAACACGGGGAATAAAAAAAATTAAAAAAACTGCAGGGTAAACTGTAACCGAGTGCTACCAAATTTATTACCACTTGTGTATATATCACCACAATTTAAGCATACACAAGCACTTCAATTTACTAAAGAAGTATTTCACCATATTTTGCAAATTGCATTAAAAATGAAATCCTCTTGCATTTAACTAACCTTCATCTTAATGTTGATTTTGAAAGGAGATTTAGTAGACCGAAGGAACACTGAAGAGCTTCGAAGGATCGTGCGTAACAAACTAGACCACATGAGAGCACAGCATTCATTAGGTCACTAAGCTACTGAAATTGTTCAATGAAAATGACAGTTTAGTGTCATAAACAGCATCAAAGCTGTAAGAAAAAATGTCTGCTCTGCAGATCAGAAGACAATAGAAATCAGCTCCAGTAGCTTTGTGTTTAAGCCACTTAAAATGTATTATTTCAATCTTTTTTGTTGACGAAAAATGTGCTGAAAATTGATGAAACTAGAACACAATTAAAACTGGTTTTGTAAACTCAGTTTTCCTGACAGAAATGATGCAATTCTTATTCTAATTTCTTGGATTGCTTGAGTCAGGTCTTTGTGTATGGCTCGTCTATAAGTTGAGGGTGATTTTTTGGGCTGATTTTTTGGTCATAAAAGGTCAACTTATACAGGAGTAAATACAGTAAATCATAACCATTATTTTGGGCTTTTAGATGTGAGGTATGAAATTCCACTTTTGAAACTTTTAGTTGTGTGTATGGCCTGAAATAGATTGTCTTTCTGCTAAATCAACTTGGAAAGCTAAACAGTGAGTGTAAATCTTTGTTATTTTGGAGTGAAGAATTTCACAATCCTCAACCAATCCTCCAAATTTAGGAAACCTCCCATTCAAATGATTCAGTATAACATTTTCAGATGTGAAATATTAGTTTCTAGATCTTTTGATCATCATTTGTTTCTATTACTCAAATAACGTCTTATGCATTGATAGAATGATATATGCAGCATCTCAAATTTTTTTAAACCTTTAAGGTATCACAGAAGGAAAAAAATCTTTTTTTTTTCAATTTCCTGAGAATTTGATACAAAAAAGATCTATCAACTTCTTAAAAGTTGATTTTGTTATCTTTTAACTTAAGGAGATATAAAGCAAAGAGTAATTTGAGAATAGAACGGAAGGCACAAGATTAATGTCACTTTATGTCAACTTCTTTTTGTCATTTAATTAACGATTTCAAAACCAAAAGCACACTGTACGGTTTCTTTCAGTTTTGAAATTGCTCATTTGTTATGTGTTTATATAATTCAGTTATCGTTTCAAGCTGTCATCATGTCCAAAAGCAACAAGTCCCTTTCACTGTTCCTAAAATTTCTCCACAGTTTGCATTGGAGCAGAAATATTGCTCACTGACAGTGATAGCAGTTCCTACTAGACTTTGCAATTCAGTGGTCAGAGCCTATTTCAATCAAAGTTGCTGTAAGCACTAGTTCGTTAAAAATATCACCAACAGTCCATCATCATTTCTGTAGTATTACCCTTTGAGCATTGATAGTTGAAAAGCTGAGTTTTGTTTCTAGTGTAGCTCTCCTTCCTCTGCCTGACCTCTTTCCTCCTCTTTTTGCTGGTTGAAGCACCTTCCATATCAGCAAAAATAGCTACATATTCATGTATATTACACTTCACCTTCTCATCCTAACTCCTCAAAAATCATATCAGCTCTTTGCTCCCTAGCGCACTTCAGTGCTGACAGCCAGATCAGTGTCAAATGGCTTGCTCCAATTTGATTGGTTAACAGCCTTCACACGCATGAAGTGGAAACGCACTTATGTAAACAAAAACTGTGGCCCTCCAAAAAAATTTAAGTCGCGTTTTCTGGTAAAGTGTTTTGTCTTGAGTTCTGATATTTGGAGAGTTTATTCTTGGTGCAGCATTCTCTCAATTTTCACAAAATTTGGTGGTAATTTTGGAAATGTAATGAACCCCAAAAGGGTGTTCCAGATTTTAATTTTTTCCTTAATTCTCAAGAGATGGCATCTACATCAAAAACTTTGCTAAAAAGTGCTACTTTGAAGTAAAAAAAAATGATTAAAAATAACAAGGTGTTAAAATACAAATTCCAGACAATCTTTTTAGTTTAGTGAATGCAGATCACATTCCAATGTAAAAGAAATGTATTGATAAAAATGTGTGGTCAAATAAACTGATCTTGTAAATTGTCTCAGCGTGAAAAAAGTAAGCTCCCATTCAGTTCAATGATAAAAATTATTAAATTAAATTACATAGTCAAAATCAGTGTTTATTAAGCTTTAAGAAAATGTACTTTCACTGGGATAGAAAGCGAAATTTTCATGCTGTCTCAGTGTGAATGAAAACGCTGATTTTCCTTCTGTGATATCTTAATTCCCAAGATCTGATTTTTCATTATTCTTATTACCTGTTTGCTGGACAATGCATGGATGTTTTATAGGTAGAAATTACATGTTATCACTTATGGGAGAGGGAGAGAATGCCTCAAAGACTAATGCCTTTCTGTGTAAATCATAATAATCCAAAAGATCTCCTAGAGATGGAAAGAAGAGGACTGATGCTCCAATATTACTGTCCAAGTTGCTTAGCAAGAATCAAAATATATTCGAATGTTTAGACCATTCAAAATATTCTTTGAAGGTTGTTAGGAATCTCAAAACAAAGTCATTGTTATTATTTTAACAAATAGACTACTAGTCATTTCCAAGATCCAACTTGAAATCCAAAGTTTAAACTGCTTCATTAATACATTTCATGTAAATTGTTTAAAAGATTCTGTTGTCATTTCAACTAGCATGTCTTATTTTTGTTGCATTAATTGATATTGCAACAGGAATTTTTTAGGTTAATTACCTTTCAGAATTAAATGGAGGACTTGAAATACTTGGAGAGCTTAATAGAGGAATTGTTTTATAATCAATATTATCTCAACAATATGAAGTATTTATTAAAATGATTTAGGGATCAATCTACTCAATTGATGTAACATGCCATTAGAAAAAGGTCTTCTACTAGTGTTGAAATGGATTACAGAGTGCCTCTAGCAGTATAAATTTTTTCCTTTTGAAATTTCTTCCTTGAGATTACCTTCAAGGACATGTATTCTGATATTGTATGGTGTAACAGTTGCAGTAAACTCTTTAAAGAATAGAAATATTTATGGAAATTTCTACATTCAATACCATTAATTGTTTGAAGTTACCAGTTGAATTTATGACAAAACTAGATTAATACTCGTTTTAAAGTCTATTGTGTACAAGTATGTTTACTTAAATTAAGCATGACATCTGCATCATTGGCTTAAGGCAAAAAGAAAATCTGATTTTGCTCACACTTCCATTAATACATTATAAATGTATACAAAATAAAATGAGCAATTTACTACATAATTTGGTATTATCGACTGAGTTGAAAAACAGTATGTGGATCACCATAAAAAATTTCCTAAAGTTGAAACTTTGAGAATTAGACCTCCATCAGAGTGAAAGCATCAGCTTTAGAAACTCTTTATTTTAGCCAATTTACATTTTCAATTCATTTCATTGATAAAACAAAGTAATTTTCTAATACCCCAGCCTCACCTCCATCAGAGTGAAAGCATCAGCTTTAGAAACTCTTTATTTTAGCCAATTTACATTTTCAATTCATTTCATTGATAAAACCAAGTAATTTTCTAATACCCCAGCCCACATAGCACCGCAAAACCTTAATAAACTTATCCCTTTATCTAGTTTACTTTACTTTACCTACAGCTGAAGACATTCACCTAAAGTTTGATTTTTCTCACAGCTATAATAAGCAATCTCTTTACCACATATGTGATATACTGGTAGTGTATTTTTAAGGTCAAATATATCAAAAGTGTGTACCTTTTGAAGTAGGTTAGATGCAATTCCCTACTTTTTCTAAGACTTTATCTGAGTGTTCTGATATTGTTTCCAATATTATGGGACTTGAAATTAATTTTTTTAATTGGTTTTTTAGAAAATGCAGTTGTATGGTTACAGAAACAGCAGATTATAATAAATAGTTCTCAGTATTTAATTTGGTAATGTAAGTCCAACCCTGAAAAGCCTCAATTGTGATAAGGAACATTCTAATCCCAGGAGAGTATTCAATTTATAAAACATGCGTGATGAAAGATTGTTTTTTTCCGGTTCTCATCTCCATTCTTTGTTTGATGACAAATTATGCTTACATGTTTTTAAAAAGCCAGTCAAATGTTTGAGAGCCTCCTATATGGAATATCATAAGTTAAGCTTCCCCTTGACCATTTACACCCCAACATCAGTTTGCAAATTCTCTGTACTGTTTTCTACACATTTCCTAAGGTGCCAGTTAGAAGAATTGGTTTAACAATCAAGAGCTTCAGTCTTTAGTTGGTGATCATTAATGTTTGATTCAGGGGAGAGATTCTAAGGGGAAATTAAATGTGAGTCATTCTTAAGGGTAAGTGTTAACTTTACTTAGACATGGACAGTCTCTAAATATGAAATGATTCTTATCAAATCAAAATATATAAATCGGTGTTAAAAGGTGAAAAGGCTGGCCCTAACTTATTGTGAGTAGCTTTATTCGGCCTCGTGCCAAATAAGCTTTAGTTTACGAAAAGAGATTATCCTTGATGAGGCCCTGAAGGTTCAATATTTCAAACTGTATTGCATTTTGTGACTAGGAAATCAGCTGTATATGAGGCTATAATAATTTATTCTCATCATCATCATTATTGTTAATTAAAAAGTGTGTGGCTGAAAATTACAGCTAATGGTCAATAAATACCATAAAAGTTAATAGTTAAGTGAGAAAGAATTCCTATTTTATGATTGACAGGGAAAACTGTAGAGAGCTAACACAATTTTTGTGTTGCCATTAGAAGGATGATCATCAAAGCAATAACTAACATGCTCCTTTAAAAATATTTAGAAAATTCAACTACAGTATTATTTTTTGTTATGCTGTGACTTCCTTAAGGCAATTAAATCATCAGGAATATAATAATTTTATTACTTTGTAATTAAATTTTGTTTTTAATGAGATATTTTTTCCTGTAATTTTTCTTCCTGAATTAGAAAAGGAATCAAATAACTTCTGAATTTTTAAACTTAACATTTTACACATATGAAAATTCTTAAAGAATACTTCAAAGTATGAATAGTCCAAGGGAAAAGTTTCATGAATATTACTAAATATATATATATATATTTCAAATTTTAAATTCATAACTTGTGTAGGATCATTAGTAAATTGATATGTGTCTTTAACCATATCAAAATCTTTCCAGTGGGTGGGGAGGAAGTTGGATAGTGGGTCACAATTGGAAAAAAATTTCATCTAAAAAAACGTCATTAAACACATTAGGCAACAGGAAATGATCAATGGCTTTGGTAACAACATGAAACAAGGAAATATTTTTCCGTTTTGGAACAACGCCGTTGATTTGTCAGTTCCGGTTTTTTGTAGAATTTGTCATTTTAGACACGTTTTCTGGGCTTAGTTTTCCAATTTAACAAAATACTTCTCAACTATTACTTTGAAAATTAAAAAATTCCTGGTGAACCGCATGTGTCAAGCGTGTTTGTAACTGTCAGTTCGATCTATGACGTTTGCGTAGTCACGTGTCCTGCCAAACTTTAAACCTCATTTGTTATGTGTGGCGATGTCAATTCAACTTCATCTACGATGCCCGTAACTGAAGTACAGGTATTTTTGATTTGTTTTCCCTTTTCGCGTCTAAAATTTTCCATCGATGTAGTATTTTATTTTTCAAAGGCTTGACGAATATTTTCCTGTTCAAACCGATGCGTCAACAGGCAATTTAGACGTGTTCAATACATTTCATTTTGTAGCATACCATGACAGAATTACTGCCTAACTGACTTTAAATTATTGATTTTTATTTTCAGTGGATCGGGGCCAGTTGTGGACGGCACAGCACTTACACCTTCTACAGAGGTTTCAGATTAATTGTCGATGGCGTGGCAAAAAATTTCTGTCTCGGAGAGTTTTATTTTGTGAGGAATTCCACAGACCAACCGATATGCATAGCTGAACTACAATTAGTTTGGTACGACGCGAGTACTGACAGCCAGCTTGCTTCCGCGAGGCTTTATTTTAGACCCGAAGATACTCCCGCAGGACGCCTTGCAAACCACGGACAGGTCAGTTATTTATAAATTTACTTACCAGGGATTTTATTTCATTTTATTGCTTTGATTTGCCGTTTTGGAGCCCGTAAAATGGCCAAGGTTAACAAATCTAAAAACACTAAAAATTTGTTTGTTGAAGTTATAATGCTTCATTGATTTTGTGAAGACGTTGTTAGAAATTTTGCGCTGGATCGTCGATTTCAAATTATCTTTTTTTTACCGTAGAAATCAGAAAAAATTAAATTATCTTTAATCTTTCTTCACTTTAAAACTTAAAACATGAGCCCAGGAGAAAGAAATTGTGGCGTATTAAAACGGAATATTTAAGCTCAGTGGAACACGCTTTTGTATCTGTCTACCACTTGTATGTCCTATATTTAGATGAATATTTATTAGAACTGAGAAAAAATAATGTGCCTAAAATATTTTGTTTTTTTAGTAGTGATCTTAAGTTCATCCAGTCGTAAGTGTAACACTTCTTGGCAAACTGATCGAGAAACTGTGATTTGGTCTTTTGTTTCTATAGCGCGCCGCGAGGAAGTGAAAGAATTCCCATGTGCTGAACTTCATTAAATTTCATTTCTTAATTTTGATAACGTCCGAACTGATTTTATAGTCTCTTAATTGCCTGGATAAACTGTTTAGAAACTCAATAGTCAAGAGATTCAAATTGACAGTTTATTGGTAAGTTCAGGACTCATCGAAGTATTTTATCAGCAACAGCTCGGTGGTTCCATGTAATGAAGTTTTTACAACACCACGCAATTTATATTCATGAGGTCATATCAGTAAACAACGTTTTATTCATAGTGCGTTCCGTGCAATGTTTACAATTATTTCCAATTTTTTACTCGATTAGGGTGCAAATTTAATTTAAAATTTGCGATCATTAAATTGAGAAATGAAAATTTTATATGAGTTCGATTATTTAAGCTATAAAAACAGCTAGCGGTGTTTGATGATAACAAAAGAAATTGATTTGCATTTTTAGCACCGCAAGTAAAATTCACTCGCGATGTTTCCGGTCGAGAGATTGTATTTCAGTTTGCGAAGTAATTTTTATTCTGGGCTATAGTTTTGTTTTCACTATTATCAATTTTACGAATAAAACGCATACATAACAATACCTGTTTTTCGGCGCTATTTTAAGCAGAAATTGACATTGTATGTGATGAAAAATTACACCTCTGTGCCTTCGACAGATGTGTATTAAGTCAAAACAATAGGAAATATTTGAATAAAAATAATAACCTGCTTGCAGCTTTAGAAATCTAAGTAAGTGAATTTTTCTCCCCTACCCGAAAACTCGTTTTAGATCGATTTCTCGACAAAAAATATTCGCTTTGTTTTTGGACGTGATTCGGCAGATTTGTACTATTTTAAGAGCCATTTTGAACAGAAATCGATGCGTGTAAACAAATTACCACATGGTCTTGATATTAATTGGAATAAGGAACCACGGATTGTTTTCATGAAATATTGTTTGATGGTGCTCGTTTTGACGTTGAAATTGCTAAATGATAGATATAGTGATGATGATACGTACGGACTGATTTAAGTTTAGTTGAAAATACGGCTCGCATTCTGTTGTAAATTCACTGGTTACTTAATACGTGTTGTATTACATTATCTTTTTATGTAGGATTAAATGGGAGATCAAGTCAATTTTTACCATTGTTTTAATTTTGCATCCACTTTAGACGTCTAAGGGCATATTTTAGGCAGAAGATTTTGATAGATCGCGAAATTTTGTTTCTTAAATGTGCTTCACACTATATTCTGGTTTGATAATTAATCGCTCCGTGATTCCGCTTGTCAGTTTCATTGTTGAAATATCTCGAATCTATCATTGAATTTTAGTTGTGATTTTTGTACGGGATGCAATGTCTCTTTCCTTGTATTTCATGTGATTAATACCAATTAAATATCTAAATTGTCAAGTTTGATTTTTTTGGAATTGTTTTCTTTGGAAAAGGTTCAACACTCATCCGAGCTCGGTTATATGTTAATTTCACTGTGCAAATAAATTACTCTGGCTCTGGTTGGAAGAATTTGAAGTTCCAAGTTCTAAATTTAGGGATGAAACAAGTTCCTGTATCACAATAAACATGTATAAAATCAAGTGATTCAATGTTATTTAATATCTCTTAGTATTGAAGAATAAAGTCAAGTCAAATCTCTTGTGAGAGCTGAAAGGATTATGAAACATAATCAAGGGTAATTCTGCTATTTCTTGCCAAACCCAATTATAGAATTCTTTCATTTTGATTGTTTTTATTCCTCAAACTTGTTCAATAAATGTACCAAGTCTCGACCTTCAGAATAAGTGAACACTATTTGGAAAATGTCACAATTTGTTATCTGTTTTGTTTTGTTTGACTGTTATTTGATACAATTAAACAAAAATTTTATTAATTTCAGCGACAGTGCTACATTTACTGTTTAATTTATTTCGGTCATAAAAGAGTTGTTCCGTAAAATACTATTTAACATTAACAGCTAAATGTTAGTTGATTATTCTGAGTACTTGAAAGAGTATTGCAAGTGACCACTCTTATGCACTTCAATACACTATTGCCAAGACCAAGTTTGGCTTTAAGCACATGTTCATTATCAAAAGGCCTTGAATTAATTAGCATTCTGTACTTTTTGATGTTTATCAATTCAAAATTTTCCTTCTTGCTGAGTTTGATCTGCCTGTTCCCATGTTTTATTCAGTGAATGTTTAATTATAAAACAGGGAACTTTTAGATCACATCTATTTTTATCTAGCAGTATGCAAAATGAACAGACTCCATAACAGAACATTGTTCCCTAGCAAGAACTACATTGTTGATACACATGTGCAGAGTAAGGTTGGATAGACTGTCAGATTTTTAGGCTTCAATTAATAAAATTATTTGAATTGTTATTACATGTGAGTCTCGCAAGATAGGAGAGAACAATTAGCCCTTTACCCTAACACTTAGCACAGCCATGGGTTTTTAGATGCTTTTTCAATTTTATTGTATATGGTTACAAGAGAATGTTTGCCATGTTGTATTATTTGAATCAATGTTTTCAATAAAACAGAACAAGGAAGTCATACTGCTTTTCCTTTTATTTATCATATTTTTTTTCATTTTCAAGGGAGTGATAAGTGTATAATTTGGATTGATGATTAAGAGGTTGTTGTTGATACAGTTGTTAGCTAAATCTTGGATTATTTTGATCATCTTACCAAGTTTACAATGAAATTTGGAATATCTGAGAAATTTAACTTCTCAAAATTGTGTGAATAGATCTTTGCATCAGGTTCTGTATCACTTCAGGGTACTCAGTCTCATGTAATTTTTGTTACGTTTAAACTTCTGTGGATTTTGCAGATTTTCCAATATCCACAAAACTATAACCCTGCAGAAAAAGAAAAACATATTTTAGCACTCCAAATTCATGTATTTCAGTTAAATGAAACATGCATCAAGCAAATCAAGTGTCAACTGGTCTGCCAACTCACTTGAAATAACAGCGAATATACAAATCATCCACTGCAGTAAACTACCATGTGGATAACTCATCTCAGTATAATATATATATAGAATATTTTTTTATTTATTTTTTTTAAGTTCTTCTCCTTGTTGATGCGCAGCTGCTTCAGCAGAAATATTATTAAATTATTTCCAAGCAGAAATTTTAATCATCTTGACAAGTAAAAATGTGTTCTTTCAAACACACAACAAAATGGCATTTCTGTAATTGAAACTCCTTCAAATTTTTCATTCTAGCAGGCAAGAATGTAAGGAATCTAAGTGCATACAATAAATGAACTTTTTACAATTAAAAATCAGTGAAGTTGCTTGCCATTGATGTGTTTTTGTATATTAGTAACAGTGGGGTCCGATATGTGCTTTATTAGGCATTTTTTTAAGTTTCAAGTTTCAAGTTGTGCATTCAAGGAATAATTGGGTGCCTGGAAATCAGACGTGAGATCGGACATGAACATCCAGTGTTATAGAACTGAAATGATTATCAACTGTGCAAGGCCCAGAATTTGCCATCACTTTAATTGGCCACCAACTGAGGTTTTTTCCCCTAAAAGAATGCTGCATGGGCCTTTCTGTTAAAATATCACTTGTGGTTGAATTTACACAAACAAGAGTCACATTTAGACCTTCCTTGCTGAACCTTGGCATTACTCCAAAATGATGTGATAATCTTAATTACTAAGGGATATATGGTCATTTTCAGGTTTTAATTATCATTTATTAATTTTTGTGCTTTGATCTTGTATCTGATTGGTGATGATAGTATTGTTTTTCTGTTCTTTTTAAGACTATACGTCGAGTACTTTTTATCCCACCTAAAATTTAATTCTAATTTTAGGGTATTAAAGATGAAAGGCATTTTGTCTAGACAGATATAATATTTGTAAGATGACCTTGTAAAATTTTTAGACATATTTTGATATAATCCAACTTGTATCTTAACTAAGTGTAGATAGAAAAGTGGGAGCAGTCTTAAGTGCAATATCATCTAACCTGGCTGGTGAATTCTGTTCATGTGTCTTTTTGGCAGCACTCACCTTCATTGCTCTCTCAAACTAAATGCATCACATCATCAGTCTTTCAAATGTATTTTTAACTTCAAAACTCAAGCTTTCAGCTGCTTTAACTGCTCTCTTTGGTGAATGAAATGACGAGAGACCAGAATTTGTAAATACGTCATGTGTAAATAAACACAAAACAATTAATATTTTATTGATAAAATTGATTCATACATTTTATTTTACATGTGTTCAAAATGACTGTATTTATTTGTTTATATTTATTAGGATGAGTTACTATATGCTGACCAGAAGGTTGTCATTAAATGCCACGACATGGCTGTATGGCAGAATTCAGGACTCCAATGGAATTGTGGCATGTTACCCTTGTGTGAAAGTGATTTTGTATGTGTCAACGACAAATACTATTTGAACAGCAACAATGTTGCTAAGGAGAAAGAAACTTTAAAAACTGCCAGGGAGGCATGGATGAAAAGGGATCATCCTCGCAGCCTCCACATACTTACATTTCCGGCTTATTGTCGCTACAGAGCTCTTAAAAGGAGGCTCTTATCGGGCATGTTTTTGACAAGAGCCCAGTTGACTGCACTGGGTGGAGTTATTGCGGAACACAAAAGTATACGGGTGCTCTTCTGTAGAGATAGTTTTCATCATCCCAGCTTGGACAAGTTTGAATTATCTGGTGATAACAAAGGTATGAATAATGTTGCATGTTAAGGGTTTTTTCCTTTTTTAAGAATTGTAGAAGGCAATAATTGCAAGCTAACAGGATACATAACAGCTCCATGTTTGAAGAAAAGCAAAGCTCAGGCCATCCAAATTTAGCCAGAGAATTCAGAGTAGGATCTGGAGAATTATTCAATCTTTTATGCTTAATCCTTTGCACCCAGACATTAACATTTTAGACATTAGCATTGTCCTTTATTTTCATGATCTAAATGAATGGTTCACCAGTATAAGAAGAAATAAGAAGCTGGTCTCTCTTATGGTTTTTCAGGTTTGGAATAATCTTGATTTTTCCAAAATTGTGGTCAGATGTGATTGTTTTTTTTTTCCTACATATAAACAACCAACTGAACTATTTCTTGATATACAAGGCTGATACTGAAGCTCTTGTCGCAGAAAAGATTGATACTTGTATATTATTTTCCTGAAGCTAAGTGATCACAAGGTGAAGAAATGTGTAGCACAATTGTGCTACTGAATCTATGCTCCAACCTAGTTCAGTGAATGTGGACATTTTTCAACACTGTCAATTCCAATTCAACATAGAAACAGAGGACAAGAAGAGCTACCTTGTGGAATGTCCACTGCTAAATCCCTTTTTTTCCACTTTTATTTATATCCCCTTTTTCTTTCTGTTTACCAGCACCAGTTCTGAAAGGTAGGCCAAGGAAGAAAAAGAAGCTTACTGCGCAAAACAATGTGCTAAAGAAGAAACGGTTTGTGGCAGACATTCAAAATCACCTTGGAAATTCACCAGCAGCAAAACGATGCAAAGTATCAGAGGAAGAAGAGAGTGCAGGTTCTGATATGTCAGAAGGTGTGCAAGACAAGATAAAGGCACCTCCTGCAATGGGAAGGAAAACTAAGACCAATGGGCCGCCGCCCTTAATAAAGCCACGAATACAAGTCAATAACGCAGAAAAGGCAGAAACAGCAGAGATTCCCAAAATTGCTGTTCAAGATGTGCCATTGGCAAAAGGAGAACATACAAAGATCCCACCTCCTCTTATTCCCTCTAGCAAGATAAAGGCAGATGTGCTGTGTCTCTCACAACCACTGCAGTCTAGTCAAAAGGAAATCAGTACAAATATTTCAGAGTGTTCAAGGACCACACCTATTCAAAAGCAAGTTTTCTCTTCGAATGCAAAGCTAAGGGATGTTGAAAACAGTATGACCAATAAAAAGACTGTTTCACTGATGAAACCACACTTGACTGATAGAGTTAGAACAAATGTTACAGTTATACCTGCTTCAAGTTCAAGCTCTATGTCAGAGAGTAGAACAAGCAGAGTACCAAATTCCCTCACAGAAAACAAGAAAACTTCAAATGGGACAGCTGTCACATACACCCATAATGTTGACAATTCGAGAACACAGCCAGCTGTCCAGGCCAATGTACATCCACCTACTGTCTTGAGCACCCGACCAGTAACTACAACACAAGGCACCGTCAGCACACAGCTAGCAGCATCTACCTGCAATGTTATGCGCAACCAACCTGTGGCATGTTTGCAGCAGCCCATAAGCAGTGTGCAGTCAGTTCCAGCAAAATCTTTTCAAAATGCCACACCAATTTCAGGACCCATTTCATCTTCAGTGAACATCAATGATGTTACAAAGCCAAGGTTCAGTAAGGAAAATGAAGAAAAGCATTTCAGACCACCCTCTGTTTCAGAGGAGAAGAAAGAGAATGAGATGAAACAAATGGAGGAATCTATTTTGTGGAAAAAGAAGAAGAAAAGACTGAGGATGCCTGGAAATGTCAAGGATGAGGTACTGCAAGTGGCACACTGTGACAAAAAAAAGTTGCTTTTGAAGACAATAAAACTTTGAAATGAACATTTGCCAGGATGGGGATATTGATGGGTTAGGGTAGGATAGCAGGGAGTTGTGCAGTTGTAATTAATTTTTTTCAAGATTTAAGTCAATTGATAGCACATTGCAACAAAAATAGTTGCTTTTGAAGAGAATAAAACTTCGAAATGAACATTTGCTAGGGTGGGGATATTGATAGGTTAAGGGCCAGATAACAATAATAATGATAGTAATCATAATGATGATATTAATGGCGGTGAACACAAATCCTTTGAATTTCTTGTGAAAAATGCCTGCTTCTGTTATAAATAAACAGGTGTATGATGACGATGATGAGAAGTTCTTCATGCAAACCTTACGTGACTTCATGAGAAAGAATAACCAGCCACTTGGCAAGTTGCCTGCCTTGGGCTTTAAGAAAGGTATGACTCTTGTGTTTTTAATACTTAACTGTTTATTAAGTACACCTATTTTTGTTACCACCAGGTCATGGATTGGATGAAGCTAACATCAAATTTACATGTACTTCTATAAATACAAAATTGCATCCATAAATACAGTACATACATACATCCGTAGATACATACACTGTGCTTATGTACATGAACATGTAATTACTTTTGATACAAATTTGCAACTTTTCATGCTCCCAAAGGTAGCTTGTACACCATCGTTTCTGTTAGTTAAACAAGAATTCGTAGTTTTAAGGATGTGGGTGTTAAAAATATACATGCATCCCTGTGCAAATCCTGATGCAGAATACTTTAAATTTTTGAGGTTTGGAAATGAATTGTGCAAAAGAATTTTGCATGACAGGGGAAATTGTAAAATGGTTAGGGAGAAAAATTTTCAAACCTTTTTTTGCTCTTTTAATTATTTTAATAATCAGTTGATGGTTGTCTTATTCCCTCAGTTAATCTGTGGACAATGTACAATACAGTGCAGAAATTTGGAGGCTATGATGCTGTAAGTATCAAACTATTTAAACTCAGTAGTTTGTTGCTTTACATTTAGTATTGTAAGTGTTGCAATTCCCTTTATGAAACAAAGGTAAGGTAAAAGTTGAAAAGTATGTTAATTGGTTTGGAAATTGATTTTTATGAAAAAAATGTTTCCAGTAAAGTAGGGAAAAGTCTCACAGAATATGCAGGTATCTGAATTGGACACAGGTCCTGTTTCCTGGTCATTGCACATGTTTGCATGCTAATAGAAGTGCAGGTGTCTGAGGCATTATTTTCAGTCAGGATGGGGAAAAAACCTCCCATAGAAACCAACTCCCATTAAAAAAGCAACTTATTTTGACATTTACATTGTAAATTAATCCAAGAAATTACTTTTATTTGCCTATGAATCTAACCATTGTAGTTTGGCTTTGAAAGAAACCTCCTTAGCAGTTGTAAATGTTCATCTTGTAGGTGACTGGGAAACGTCTGTGGCGACGTGTTTATGACTCACTTGGTGCAAGTACAACTATAACAAGTGCTGCCACTTATACCAAGAGACATTATGAAAGGTGAGTTTGGCAGTAAGTTTTTCTCACAGTGGCCATTTAGAAATGATTACATCTTTAACAAAATTCTTGGTTGTTTTTCTTTGCCATGTGTCCATTTTCCACATATCAGATGGGTATGCCATCGTAGCTGTCCTTTTGAGAGTTTTTTTACCACTACATACCTTTCATTGTCCTTTCCTTTAACACTTTAACTCCCAGGAGTGACCAGCATGTAACTTCTCTCTATAATATCCAAACATTATCCAGTAAACAGGTGAGGAGAATACTCAAACTTATCAGGTAGAGGATGTTATTTTGATCTTACACTAAATTCTTGTAACTAATTTACAAGGAAATGTCTGGCAGCTAGAGGGGAGAATTAACAATCAGATCTTGGGAGTTAAAGGGTTAAGATACACATGTATGTTCTAATTTCAATTGAATGTCATCCAGTTACATTTGCAAAGCTTTCCCTGTCTGTAATGTACTGGTATGTTTAACCTGCAGCTGCCATGATGATAAAAATATTTTGGCATGCATTTTCTTGTCTGAAATCTTGCAGAAATTATGTGATATCCCCTTAAATTATTTGCCTTTTCTTTCAGGTTACTCTTGCCATATGAGAAGCATATAAGAAACGATCTCAAGAGACAGATGGATGAGAAAAATCCCCCTTTTGCTGACAGCTGTGGACAAAAAGAGCTTTTAGACAAAACGAAGAAAAAACCAGGTTTAACAGTCTCCAATAGCAAAGCAGTGCAACCAAGCTTTCATGCAGACCAGGCTGTCGTAGAGAAGAAGCAGAATCAGGTCATGGAAAGAGATAGAAATACACATGATAATATTGCACCAGTGTCATCACAGCAAGCAATACCTTTAAGAGTGACCTCCACACCTGATGTAAAGAGGAATGTGATGCACATAGCCCATTCTCAAGAAATGAAACCTGTTATAACAACATCAGCCATCACCACAGCCTCCTATATGCAAGAAATTTCACCTGTTTCTGTGAAATCCATCACAGAAGAATCTAAACTGTGGAGGAGCAAGTCAGTTGCAAGCACAGAGCCACTGATCACCTCATCCTCTGACAGAAGAGAAAAAGTTGTTCCAGTGCAACAATTTTCACAAGAGGCAACTGTCACTAAAGACAGGAAACAGCATCGCAGGGAAGAGATTCGTAGCCATGAGGAAACAAGTGCAAGAACCAACTTTGTCTATGCAAAAAACACAGTTGCTGTTGGTACCAATCTGAATCAAGCTATTCCACCACAGAGGGTCTCTAAAGTTGTGAATGATGATATGCGAGTGGTACCACCTTTACAGCAGTTAAATACTGCTAACAAAGGAAGAGAGATTATTGATTTAACATCAGAGGACAGTCCTCCGGGGGTACAGTCTAGGAGTCACACTGTGCCACAGACTCAGAAAGAAATGCAAGAAATATCCAAGGTGCAGAGACCAATAATTGGTGGTGGAGAAAATTCCAGGCTGAAACATTTGCAGCAATTGCAAATAAAACAAGAACACAATGACAGTTCAAAGCACCACTCCACTAAAGAACTAAAACCCAAAGTAGAAGGATCCATAGTTTATGGTGTGCAGCCGTACAGTGGTCAACCATTTAATGGCAACAAGGTTCCATCTCGTGTTCATGAAAGCTCTCCTGGGTTTACAACAAAGAAAGCTTTAGATGAAGTCTGTCCACCTCTAAAACAAGAAACATCCCATTCCAAACAGGAGAAGAAGAGGCATAAACAGGCACGATCGGAAAACTTAGAAGGCTGCTACACACACTCCCCTTCATCAGAGAGTGTTGATGAGCATTTTGCAGAATGGCTACGAAGACAGTCCAGTGGGCAACAGCAACATCCTAAATCTAGCACCAGACATCACTACACTCCAGAACTTGGCCAGTTAAGGTATAACTATGTTTCCGAGGACCTCTGTCCCCCAGACTGCTCTTGCTCATTATCAGCAAGCAGGAAAGATGATATTAGAGCCCCTCCACCGAAGCCAAAGAAGGAGCATTACGAAGAAGAGCTACCATTTCATGGTATGACATTTTACCCAGGAAGATGGAGTCCTTCCTCCATGATGCCAGATCGCCCTGATCTTTACATATCCTCTCCTTCTGCTCATTTGCAAGGACCACCAGACGCACTTTCGAGTCACTTGTGTACAGCATCCAGGATTTTCATTCCCACACCCCCTATGTTTAGTCCTACCTACCACTTGGGTGTGGCACCTGTGGGTGCTCCGGCCTTGATAACGGGCACAGATGATCAGCTACACATTCACCCACATTGTTTGCTGGGATCAACTTATCCTGGTACATCGAACTCAAGGACACCAGAAGGAACCAATTACCCATTATACTCTTTTACTTAAGTGACCATTCTGGTAACAAGGACTTGAGAAAAAACTGTAACAGAAGCCCATGTTTGGATAGGGGAAAAAACCATACTTACTTCACTAGAAGAGCATCTACCATAATTTACACAAATCATTCCTTGTGCTCTGAAGTCCTCAAAAATAGCCACTCCTGCAGAATTTCTCTCTTAAGATGCTGGGATTCAAAATTTACACAGAATTACAAAAGTGAAATTTTTAATGATTTGTTGATAAATATCCACTCGTTTAAAAAGTAATTATTTTGCAAGCAGCATGTGTGGGGCTGTTTCAAGTGTAGATGCTAATTTTTCATTGATATAAATATGTAGTTAACGATGTTATCTTTCCACCGAGGTGGGAATTTCACGCTTAAGTGTTGACATGGTGTTAAATTACACATTTTGAATACTCTTTTTTAGAATAATCAGCTGGTCTGATTCAATTGTTAACTCAGGAGGTACTCACATTCATTAGCAGCTCTGAAACCCTCTGTTTTCAGTAGTCTCACCTAAGGCTTTAACAGTGTAATTTTTAGGAAGCTTTCATTTCTGCTGGCATTGTAAATATATTTATTTCGGCATTCTGAACTCATCATACATCTTCCAGAAATTACATTATCACGGTAGTTTGAAAAAGACGCAAACTACAGGTCACCTATTAGAACTTCATTGTTGGACCCAGGAAACATTAATCATATAAAACCCTTTCCCTTTCAAGGGCTTGTGTTAAAAGTGTTATATGGTCAATTTTTGATGACATTCTCTCATTTTCATTGTAAATTTTGTGAATATAAGGTTGCTGTTTGTTGCAGTGTGAGATAAAGGCTTTAATTTTCATCGATTAGAAATGAAATTAAATAGCAAGAGATAATTGCTTGTACAATTTATAATTTATTAATTCCACAATGCGATTTTGCTTGATTTTTTTTTTACATTAAAACCTGATTAATTACGATTTTCTTATTGATGTGTTATGGTTTAATTTGTCTTTGGTTCAAAGTTCATTTTCCTTCCGTCAATTTTGTCATCGTACACTATCACAGGGACTACAGAGGAGGCTAAAATTTGAACCAAAAGCGAAATTAAACCACAACATATACGAGCAACTCTTTCTCAAGGGCTGGTTCAGTTGATAACTATTTCTAATGTTACAACTATGTTACATTTTCATGATTGCTACCCTGTAGAATTACCAAACGTTATATTTTAAGTCAGTTTGTGTTGTATACATTCTAGCAGAGTTTGGACCAACTTTCTACCATTTATGATGGTGAAAATTTGAGTTCACTCAGTATATTGTCATATTGCAAAGGTGTGAAATATTTTTTAGGTGAACACGGCTTTGAAGTATTTTTCTAACGCAAAAGGCTATTTTTGTACATTATGCAAAGCTAAAACACGTGATTTTTGTTTGTTTGTTTTTGCTGGATGTAGTGTATTTATTTTTGCAAAGGTCAAGAAGACTTCACAGATGAAACTTTAACTTTTATAAATAATATTTTGCAAGAGGTTAATGTAAATAAACTCTCTTTGATATACCTGTTTGACTCCATTCACGTGTGGGCCAAATTATGTTTCATGTTACCAAAAAGAGGGGCTTTATCAAGTTCTAAGGCATGTACACGCCACTGCAATGTCATCGAATAGCGGTCACCTAAGGAGCGCCCCTTGCAAGACCTGAGGGATAAGAACCTGAGAATGGAGAGACTGAGACACCCAACCACCCAACCACCCACCCCGTCTTAACCTCCTTTTCAGATCTTCTCAATCTTGCACTACAAGTAACGAGTCACTGATGCAATAACTGGGTTAAAATAATAAAACGTTCCTTTTCTCACTCAACAGTTTCTCATGTAGTCCTGGCTGCTTTAAAAGTGTGGAAATCACTGACTGAAAATGAGAGGTACATGATGCAACCGAAAGTATACGTAAACAAGGTCTTGGAATTAGGAACGTGTTATTCAGTTAGTATTTCCGTCAGTTTCAAAGATATTTCAACGATAGTGCAACGATAGCGGATTCCAATCCCGAAATATTCCGTACAGCGCTAGAATGGACGAGACGGATTTGTGCCTGAAACTCTTGAGCATTGTGCGCAAGTCACTACCGTAACAGACAAACACAAAACAGAGTGCCCGAGTCACTAACCTTACAGTCCAACACAAAACAGAGTGCGCGAGTCACTAAGGTAACAATCGAACACAAGGCAGAGTGCGCGAGTCACTAATCTAACAGTAAGACGCAAAACAGAGTGCACAAGTCATTAACCTAACAGTAAGACGCAAAACAGAGTGCACAAGTCATTAACCTAACAGTCAAGCGCAAAACAAAGCGGGTGGGTCACTTACCTAACAGTCAAACACAAAACAGAGTGTGCAAGGCACTAACCTTACAGTCCAACACAAAACAGAGTGCGCGAGTCACTAACGAACAATCGAACACAAGACAGAGTGTGCGAGTCACTAAGCTAACAGTCAAACAAAAAGCAGAGTGCGCGAGTCACTACTCTAACAGTAAGACGCAAAACAGAGTGCACTAGTCATTAACCTAACAGTCAAGCGCAAAACAAAGCGCGCGGGTCACTTACCAAACAGTCAAACACAAAACAGAGTGCACAAGTCATTAACCAAACAGTCAAACACAAAACAGAGTGTGCAAGGCACTAACCTTAAAGTCAAACACAAAGCAGAGTGCGCAAGTCCGTAACGTAACAATCAAACACAAAACAGAGCGTGCGAGTCACTAACCTAATAGTCAAACACAAAGCAGAGTGCGCGAGTCACTGATCCAACAATCAAACACAAAACAGAGTGCGCGAGACAGTAACGTAACAATCAAACACAAAAAGGTGTGCGAGTCACTTTCCCAACAATCAAACACAAAACAGAATGTGCGAGACAATAACCTAATAATCAAACATAAAACAGAATGCACAAGCCACTAGCGTAACAATCAAACACAAAACAGAGTGCGCAAGTCACTAACGTAACAATCAAACACAATCAAAGTGCTCTGTGAGCAAACTCGTGAATTGACACATGATTTTTTAGATTATGTTTAATGTTATCTGGTTTAGGGAATTTTGTGGTTGATTGTCATATCTAGAGTACGAGCAGTAGTTCAGTGTTCGCTAATGTAGCAAAGAAACAAAGTAACGTTGGGATAAGAAGGCATTACAATTGAAATGATCATGCTATTACATTTGACAAGGTGGATGATGTCATGTGTTTTAAACGTCTATCATTTTTGTTTCTGGTTCAAAAGAAAAGGTTGGAAGTAAATGTGGGTGAAAAGTGAAATTTACTGTCTTTCGTTGTAAATATTAGAAAATCAAGGCAATACTGTCTTAATGAAAACATTAACGATTCCCTCTTTATCAAATGAGACAAACGGGAACGAGTTTTGAGTGATATAATTAAGCCAAGCCTGCCACCGTCATTTTGGATCTCCGCCTGGGTAGATTTAAGTCACGTGCTAGGCAACGTATAATCAATAACAAGATAGAATTTCATTTCAGGCCTAGTTATCAATTTCGTGGTGTGTAACTTTCGCATTTTAGTACGTTGTATGTATATGGAATCTTCAATTTGTCTTAAAAACTTAAAAGAAAATTTTTCTTTAAAAATTCACTGAAATCGGTAGCTAAAATTGTTTGTTTAGGTGTTATCTGATTTTCGTGTTAACTTGTTATTTCGTCAGTCGCCGGCATCTTTTGTTGCTTCACACAGGAAAAACACACGCGACGAAACGTAATGATCAATTTTGTCCTCAATCTCACGCTATAACAGAAAAAGCTTTTGAACATCTGTAAACTCCGAGCGCTTCGCAGTAAGTGATATTTTCAATGAATCTTGGGATTGTTTTCAAGTTCAAGGATTGTAAATTACAATTTTATGAAAAAACGAAGGTTGTTCTGTTATTTCAGTGTGAATCCTTGCATGCCTGCCAGTCGCTGGCGCCGCTTGTTGAAACTAAAACGAAAAAAAAAACTCTTTTAAGATTATCATTGGCTTCTTTTTCACCCCACCACTATTCTTAGCAAAAAAGGTCGCCATTTCGTCTGTTTATTGCTCGCCAAAAACTATAAAATGCACTCAAAAGCCTAAAATCTGAAAAAAGTTTACAGGAATCGACCAATCGAGCGAGCGAGCGAGCGAGCGAGCGAGCGAATTCCATTCCCCACATCGTATCTATAACTCGCTCTTGCGCATGCGCGCAATTCACGAGTTAAAAAGGAATGTACAAGTCCATAGCGTAACAATCAAACGCAAAACAGTGTGCTAGTCCATGACGTAACAATCAAACACAAAACAGAGTGTGCCAGTCAGTAACATAACAATCAAACACAAACCAGAGTGTGCAAGTCACTAACGTAACAATCAAACGCAAAACAGAGAGCGCAAGTCCATAACGTAACAATCAAACACAAAACAGAATGCGCAAGTCCATAACGTAACAATCAAACGCAAAACATAGTGTGCAAGTCCAAAATGTAACAAGCAAACGCAGAACAGAGTATGCAAGTCAGTAACGTAACAATTGAACACAAAACAGAGTGCGCAAGTCACTACTGCAACAATCAAACACAAAACAGAGTGCGCAAGTCCATAACGTAACAATCAAACGCAAAACAGTGTGTAAGTCCATAACGTAACAAGCAAACGCAGAACAGAGTGTGCAAGTCACTAACGTAACAATCAAACACAAAACAGAGTGCGCGAGTCACTACCATGACGATCAAACACAAAACAGAGTACGCGAGTCACTATCGTAACGATCAAACGCTAAACAGAGTGCGAGTCATTAACATAACAATCAAACGCTTAAGTGTGAGAGTCACTTGCGTAACAATCAAACGCTACACTGAGTGCGCGAGCCACAAACTAACAAAGAATCAATTACGAAACAGAGTGGGCGAGGCACTTACATAAGAATCAAAGTCAAACTTAAAAATCAAACACGAGATAACATGCGGGAGTCACTAACTCAACAATCATAGACAAAACAGCGTGGGCGGGTCAGTAACGTAACAATCGAACACAGAACAGTGCATGCAAGGACATAACACTAAGCAAACGATAAAATGTATGCACGAGTCACTTACGCAACAAAATACACTAAACAGAGTGCACGGGTCACAAACGTAACAATCAAACAAAAAATTGAGCTAGTCACGAACTTACGTTCGACAGATCAGAACGTGCGCGTCACTAACGCACCGATTAAACAATGGAGGTTATCAAAGTCACTTACTTAAGAATCAGAGTAAACAGTTTACGCACGTCACTAAAGAAACAATAACACAAAACAGAATACACAAGTCACTAGCGAAACAAACACATAAGGGCGCACTTGTAACCAGCCTATCAAAAGAAAACGCATGAGGGTCTAACTCAATTAAAGGGAAATCTTACCAACATAAAAAATGGATCAAGGAACAGAGCGCGAGAGAAACTAACGGAAAAAAAAAACAACAACAATCAAAGACAAAGACAGAACGCGCAAGATACTAGCCTAAAAATGAAAAACGAAACAAAACAGAGCACACGAGATTAACTACCTTTCAATTAACTAACGTACAGTTCATTCACCAAGTTAACGTGATGGTCAGACAAAGAAAGTGATGAGCAAATCATCTAATAACTGCATATTCAGCGCGCTGACATCAATGTTCTTTTCTGACTCACGTGACGGACCTCGCCAAAAGAAAGGAACTGCTGGCAGTCTGAGAGTCGATCCGAAATCACAATAGGAAGGACGTTGCAAAAATCAAAGCGAAAACGGAGTGAAAACTTCACGTATACTTCAACGGCATTATTATTTATGCAGAGGTCACTAACTGACAGCCTATAGCTATAAATTTTTCTTTTACATACCAGTGGGGAAAACATATCGTTTGCACTTTGTGCGCACTGGAAATAGTTGACTAGGATTGCTTATTGGAAACAAGTAACAACAGTATCTTTCGCTCAATTTGAAAAGCAATTGGGAAGAAGTTCTGCAGGTATGCATAAGCCAAGGAAATAAATGGAATCTTAAAACAAACACAACCTGAAGCACTTTAATCCATATATCAAACCTAAATAAACATATTTAGCATCAAACCGGTTGTTTCAGTAGCAGTGTAAAAGACCTCAAGAACTTATTAAATACAATTTTTCCTACACAGGTGTCGGAGAGTTCTATGTCTGTTCATTCCTAGCAAATCTTGACATTAAATTATTTGTTAATAGCTAAAACTACTCTATTTTTCCCTTTTTACAAATTATGTCACTAGGCATAACAACCTCTAAATTTCTCTACCAGAGCTTCTTTAACCTTTTGTCATTGCAATTTTCTACTAAAGTAAAACCCCCTTTAGCTAGGGTCCTTCAACAAATCAATGCTTTTTGATGTTTGTCTCTCTGGTCCCATCTCAGACTGTAATGTGATACATCTACAAAGGAAACATTTATGCATTGCAAGATACTCGTGAGCTCAGAAAAGTTTCTCTTAAATATAAAA